TCACAAGGTCTCAGATTCCATTCTGTCCCAAAATGCAAAGAACACTAAGGAAGACATCATTCTTTATTCTATATAGACCCTTAATCATGGTGGAAATTGGGTGCATCTGCCTAAGATTCTTCATTATACTCTCTGCCAAATTGCCACAGAGAGTCTAGTGGCCCCAGATGTGTAGCCTTTGAGTTTGATCACCTTGTAAGCACTCTGAACCACCTGCTTGTGAACTGCTTTCCACTGTTCCTTACCTGTATCAGTCCCTAAATCTGGATGTAGAGTCTTCAGGAGACACCAGCAACATTCACTGCACCCATATAGGCACACTGGAATCTCCATGTTCCCCAAGGACCCACCCATGACAGCTTAGTGGGTGAACTCTGGGCTGAATCTAGATTGCAACCACTTCCAATAACATGGTTTTTGGGAAAGACACTTATATTCCAAGCCACACAGGTCAAGGTATTCACTGGATTTGAAACAATAAGCAACTTGTAGTTTTGGCTGTATTTTACAATGTCAGGAATGATGAAATTAAAGATGTTCACATTACACTAGACCAAATTAAGATGGCTTTCTCCCTCTTGTTGATGTGTCCCAGCCGTGATAATGACCAGCTTAGAGTTTGCAGTTACATTATAGTCCTTCCCAGAGACAATCTTTGGTGTTCTAAGGAAAAGGCTGCCATGTTGGAGATCCATCATCTCTCCCTTCAATTTGTCTTCCATGACATCAACAAGAGCAAGTTTGTCTGCCAAGTCCTTCATTAAGATACTGATGGCACGGGCCATTCAACAGCACTAACCTCAACAACTGTAATCTTATTCTTGGGGTCTGTCTTTCCCTTAGAAGTTAATGAATCAGCTGATGTTTGAGACTTGCCATTTTGGACTGGGAACCAAAAAGAATCAGGAATGCATGTCGGGCAGGCATCCGGAGTGCAATCTGAAAGTAATAGTTATCCAGTAATAGACCCCAATCTTAAACATATAAAATACCAGAAAAAGAATTCAAAAGAATAATCTTAAGGAAACTCAGTGAGGTATAAGGTTAATACAGATAAACAAGTAAGTGAAATCAGAAAAACATTATTTGAATGAGAAATTCAGTAAAGATACAGATATCACAAAAAGAGCCAGACAGAAGTCCTAAGAGCTAAACAGTTAATGGATGAAATGAAAAATATAATCATTGGCTTTACAGACAAAAACAAGCAGAAGAAATGATGTCTGGACTTCAAGACAAGTCTTTGAAATAACAAGCAGACAAAAAAGAGTGAAAAAAGCCTACAGGATTTATGGGATATCATTAATTTAACAAATATTATGGGCATTCCAGAAGGACAATTGAAGAAAAAATGTGAGGAAAATATATTTAATAAAATGATAGCATAAAACTTTGTAACTCTGGAGAGAGAGCTAGACATCTAGTTCCAGGAAGATCAAAGAACCCAAAATATATTCAACCCAAACAGTGTAGTCAAATTGTGAAAAAGACAAAGATTTTGTAAAATAGTAAGAGAAAACATCAAGACACTTATAATGGAATCCTTGTTAGACTAACAGCTGATTTCCCAGCAGAAGCCTTAAGCTGGAAGAAAATGGGATGATATATTAAAAGTTCTGAAAGAAAAAAAAAGTTTCCACCAAGAATATTATACCCAGCACAGCTATCCTTTACAAATGAAGAAGACATAAAATCTGTCACAGATAAACAAAAACAAAGATAATTCATCACCCCTAGTCCAGCCTTACAAGAAATGCCCAAGGGAGTCTTACATCTGGAAGTAAAAAGATGATACCATCATAAAAACATGTAAAATTTTAAAAGTCACTCTTGAAGTCAGTACATAAAGGAGAAAGAGAAAGGGATGAAACCTTGTCACTGCAGAAAACTACCCAACTACAACTTCAAAAGTAAAGAGAGAGGAAGAAAAGAAAAAAATGTATGCAAAACAACCAGAAAATAGTAAAATGTTGGAAGTAACTCCTCACCTACCAATAATAACTTTGAATGTTAATAGATTAAATACCCCATGAAAGATATAGACTTGCTGAGTGGATTAAAAAATAAGATCCAACTATATTTTATCTAAAACAAACTCACCTTACTTGTAAAGAAACACATAGACTGATAGTGAAGGGATGGAAAAAGATATCCATGCAAACAGAAGCCCAAAGTGAAAAGAAATAGCTATACTTATATCAGACAAAACAGACTTCAAGTTAAAAACCATAAAAAGTGACAAACAAGATTATTATGCAATAATAAAGGGTACAATTTAGTGAGAAATATAATTGTAATATGTATATAATTGTAAATTTGTATGCACTCAACACCAGAACACCCAGATATATAAAGTAAATATTACTAGAATTTGCCTCAGGCACCCCAACCATTGGCAACCACCATTTTGATCAGTCAGCAGCCATCAACATGGAAGCAGAGCCCCCCACCAGCAAAAAGATTATGACTCACTAAAGGCTCAGATGATCATTAGCATTTTTAAAACCAATAAAGTAGTTTTTTTTTTTTTTTTTGAGACAGAGTTTCGCTCTTGTTACCCAGGCTGGAGTGCAATGGCGCGATCTCAGCTCACCACAACCTCCGCCTCCTGGGTTCAGGCAATTCTCCTGCCTCAGCCTCCTTAGTAGAAGGCACACACCATCATGCCCAGCTAATTTTTTGTATTTTTAGTAGAGACGGGGTTTCACCATGTTGACCAGGATGGTCTCGATCTCTTGAACTCCTGATCCACCCGCCTCGGCCTCCTAAAGGGCTGGGATTACAGGCTTGAGCCATAAAGTAGTTTTAAATTAAGGTGTGTATGTAATTTTTAAAGATATAATGCCATTACACACTTAACAGACTACAGTGTAGTATAAATATAACTTTCATATGTATAAGGAAACCAAAACATTTGTATGAGTCACTTAATGCAGTTTTTACTTTATTGCAGCGGTCTGGAATGAAACCTACAAAGTCTTTAAGATATGTCTATACACATATTATTTATATATTCTCTATCTGTATATATATTATAGTTTTCTTTCTTAAATGTTAGGTCTTCCAGTGAGCTAAGTTATGTTTACTGTATCCTTAGATTCAGATTCTTGTTATTCAAATAAATTTTTCATCACTGTTTTGTGTAGCAAATATCTAATAATATATTTTTGCTTTTTTTTTTTTGGCTAAAGTATGTCAGAACGACTTTCCAGGTTTGAAGATGAAGAAGGTGCTGATGTTGCTGCATATGAGTAAGTCACTTTGAAGTCTGAAAGGAGGGAGCCATTGATGGATCTCTTATCTTTAGTTAAACAGGACTTAGGCTGGGTGCAGTGGCTCACGCCTGTAATCCCAGCACTTTGGGAGGCTGGGGTGGGCAGATCACAAAGTCAGGAGATCAAGACTATCCTGGCCAACATGGTGAAACCTCATCTTTACTAAAAATAAAAAAAAAATTAGCCAGGTATGGTGGTGTGCGGCTGTAGTCCCAGCTACTCAGGAGGCTGAGGCAGGGGAATCTGGATCCCTTTCTTATACCTTTTTCAAAAATTAACTCCAGATGGATTAAAGATGTAAACATAAGAACCAACATCATAAAAACCCTAGAAGAAAACCTAGGCAGCACCATTCAGGATATAGGCATGGGCAAGGACTTCACAACTGAAACACCAAAAGCAATGGCAACGAAAGCCAAAACAGACAAATGGGATCTAATTGAACTAAAGAGCTTCTGCACAGTAAAAGAAACTATCATCAGAGTAAACAGGCAACCAACAGAATGGGAAAAATTTTTTGCAGTCTATCCATTTGACAAAGGGCTAATATCCAGAATCTACAAAGAACTTAAACAAATTTACAAGAAAAAATCAACCCCATCAAAAAGCAGGCAAAGGATATGGACAGACACTTCTCAAAAGAAGACATGCAGCCAAGAAGCATATGAAAAAAAGCTCATCATCACTGGTCATTAGAGAAATGCAAATCAAAACCACAGTGAGATACCATCTCATGCCAGTTAGAATGGCAGTCATCATAAAGTCAGGAAACAACAGATGCTGGAGAGGAAGTGGAGAAATAGGAACACTTTTACACTGTTGGTGGGGGTGTAAATTAATTCAACCATTGTGGAAGACAGTGTGGCAATTCCTCAAGGACCTAGAAATAGAAATACCATTTGACCCAGCAATTCCATTACTGGGTATATACCCAAAGGATTATAAATCATTCTGCTATAAAGACACATGCACATGTATGTTTATTGCAGCCCTGTTCACAATAGCAAAGACTTGGAACCAACACAAATGCCCATCAATGATAGACTGGATCAAGAAAATGTGGCACATATACACCACAGAATACTATGCAGCCATAAAATAGGATGAGTTCATGTCCTTTGCAGGGACATGGATGAAGCTGGAAACCATCATTCTCAGCAAACTAACATAATAACAGAAAACCAAACACCACATGTTCTCACTCATAAGTGGGAGTTGAACGATGAGAACACATGGACACAGGGAGGGGAACATCACACACCAGGGCACGTCAGCAGATGCAGGGCAAGGAGAGGGATAGCATTAAGAGAAGTACCTAATGTAGATGACAGGTTGATGTGTGCAGCAAACCACCATGGTGCAGGTATACCTACAAGATTTGTTAACCTGCATGTTGTACACATGAACTCCAGAGCTGAAAGTATAATAATAATTTAAAAAGCATTTTGTTACATAACTTTTGAATAATTTTCTTTTAAAATTGTATTTATAAAGGCCTTTGTGCTGGGCGCTGTGGCTCACACCTGTAATCCCAGCTCTTAGGGAGGCAGAGGTGGAAGAATAGCTTGAGCCCAGGAGTTTGAGACCTGCCTGGGCAATATAGCAAGACGCCGTTCTCCACAAAAAGGAAAAAAACAAAACGACAAAAGGACTTTGTTTTTTGGTTAAATTTGTAATATATGTTAGAAGAGATCTGATTGTTTTTATTTTTACTTCTTTTTGCAGCAGCAAGATTAAGAAAATAGCACGCTCGGTTGTATCATCCTTTGCATTTGGGTATGTGAGACATAAAAAAACACCTTGCATTAAATATATCTGAGATTTAATACATAAAAAATACCATGTATTAAATATATTTGAGCTAGATGCAGTGGCTCACGCCTATCGTCCCAGCACTCTGAGGGGCCAAGGCAGGTGGATCACCTGAGGTCAGGAGTTCAAGACCAGCCCTGAAACCCCAACTCTACTAAAAATATAAAAATTAGCCAAATATGATGGTGGTGTCTGTAATCCCAGCTACTCAGGAGGCTGAGGCAGAAGAATTGCTTGAACCTGGGAAATGGAGATTGCAGTGAGCTGAGAGCACACCATTGCACTGCAGCCTGGGTGGCAGAGCAAAACTCCATCTCCTATATATATATATATGTGTGTGTGTGTGTGTGTGTGTGTGTGTGTGTGAATACACACATATATATGTATATACATTTTCTGTATATATACACATGTATATACATATTACATATATATACATATGCACACATATATGTGTATATATTACATTAGATTACATTAGATAAAGCACATAGCTACTTAGCAGTCAGTAGATATGGAAATGCTTTTTGGTTTTTTTATTTCTGTCACTTACTGAAATATTAAGTCTCTGAAACCAAAAAGCATTTCCATGTTCACCAATTGCTAAGTAGCCATGTGCCCTATCTAATGTAATCTAGTTTATCATGGAATTTTGGTTTAAGCTAGACATTAAGACTTGCAAAGAAATGGCTTTTGCCTAAGATTAATATTAACATATTAATACTGTTTTTCTTCCATCTGCAAAGGTAATGTTAGTGAAAATCCAATGTTAAAATTCTATAAGTAAAGTGTTTTATTAAGTACCTTATATATCTAGAATTATTCTTTAATTCTCAAACAATTTACTTAGACTCTTCTCTACATAAGAGTAAGATTTCATACTATGATACAGATTTATGCAATAGAACTGTTTCCTTTTGAATTAATAATATTGTAATATTTTTCAAAAGTACCTTGAAGACTAATTAATCTTCATAGATTAGGCAAATAGTATAATCAATTTGTGGGGAATGTATTTAGAATATGTAACAGCAAATGTCAGGAAGTACTTTAGGGTTCAATACTATAAATATTTATGGAATTGAATTCTTTCTTGTGTATCCATCACTGTGCTAGAAGCACCCATAAATATGTGATTATATGCTTGTTGAAAATGTCACTGACAAAAAAATCTTGGTCTTTTAAGAGTTTGTTACTCATGCTTTCATTTGGTTTTTATTAATAAATTCTTAAGCATTATCCAAATTAATGAGATTTTTTTTTTTTTTTTTTTTTTTTTTTGAGAGAGAGTTTCGCTCTTGTTACCCAGGCTGGAGTGCAATGGCGTGGTCTCGGCTCACCACAACCTCCACCTCCCGGGTTCAAGCAATTCTCCTGCCTCAGCCTCCTGAGTAGCTGGGACTACAGGCATGCGCCACCATGCCCAGCTAATTTTTGTATTTTTAGTAGAGACGGGGTTTCACCATGTTGACCAGGATGGTCTCGATCTCTTGACCTCGTGATCCACCCGTCTCGGCCTCCCAAAGTGTTGGGATTACAGGCTTGAGCCACTGCGCCCGGCCGAGATTTTGTTTTTTTTGAGAAATTCATATAAACTTCTTATAAAATTCTCAAATTGTAAGAAGAATTTATAAACAGACAGGTAATTTTAGTTCAGTTTTATTTTTCTCTTTTGAAGTATTAGTCTGATGTGTCTGCTGTAAAAGAGCATGATAACATCTTGTGAAGTAGTTTGGTGGGAATTTTATTAAGAACTGCTTCTATTGGGTGAAAACTGATTTTTCCTGAGGTTTTAAGGCATTATAGTTTTTTCTGGCACTGGGCAGTTTAATACTAAATAATATCATTTTGGTACCCAATCATTGGCCTAAATATAGTATAACTATCAGGACAAAAGCCCCTTTATCTTTACTTTTATTTACTTCCTTGCTTATGCATTTATTATAGAATATTTGGAGTTTGCCTGCTCTTATTGAATGTTGGTCTCATCTTTGCCGACCTAATTTTTGCTGAAAAGAAAGTTTATATCCCTTTGGAGTATCGTTGTATTTCTCTATCTATTGCCTTATTTTTTCTCATGGATATTCTTCTTCGAGTATTTGTAGATGGGTAAGTTTGATTATTTGTATACTGCATAAAGTTATTTTGTACTTTTTAAAGAAACACTTTGGGAGGCTGAGGCGGGAGGATCAAAAGGTCAGGAGCTTGAGACCATCTTGGACAACACGGTGAAACCTCGTCTCTACTAAAAATCCAAAAATTACCTGGGTATGGTGGCAGGTGCCTGTAATCCCAGCTATTTGGGAGGCTGAGGCAGGAGAATTGTTTGAACCTGGGAGGTGGAGTTTGCTGTGAGCTGAGATCGTGCCATTGCTCTCCAGCTGGGTGACAGGCCAAGACTCCATCCCTTCTCCCCCCCAAAAAAGGCATTTTAAAATAATTTACAGGAGCACCCACCACAAACCGACTTAAGAGCCTTTGGGCCTTATGAGAACATTGGCAATAGTTTGGCAATACCCACCATGGCTCTGTGTTTGAGGTGGTCTTCGATTGATGCTCCTCTGCCTTTGGAGAGGGGTGGAAAGAATGGAAGGGACTGTATCTTGTGGTTTGAGTGACAGCTCGGCTAGCACAATAAAACTCCAGGTAGACTTTTAAAGTTTTTGATATAGGCCCTGATTCCCAGACAGCACCTTTGGACCCACCCATAGCCTGGAAGAACTTGCCATCCTGAAGGGAATGACAGAGGCCTGGCTGGTTTTTACCGCATGATTGCAGAGCCCCAGGGCCTTAAGCACATTTATGCAATAGCTAGGGTGTGGTTCCAGCAGGTCTTGGGCAATACCCAGTGCTGTGCTGGCTTCAGGTCTGACCCAGTGTAGTCATTATAGTGCTGGTCACAGGGGTGCTTGTGTCACTCAACCCCAAGCTTTAGGTGGCTCAGAACAGAGAGAGACTCTGTGTGGGAGAAACTAAGGGAAGAGAACAGGAGGCTCTTTTTGGTAATCCAGAGAATTATCCTGGATCTTGTCCAAGACCATTAAGGCAGTACCACTATGGGTCTGCAAGAACCACCGAGTTTAGGAGGCTTGGGGTGCCTCCTAAAGCAGATACAGCTTAGATCACAATATCCAAGTTCTTTCCAATATCCGGAAAGCCTTCTCAATAAAGATGGTTACAAACAAGCCCTGGGAAGCGTGCCTACAGGATCTAGAATATAACCTTGAATGGGCAAATCTAAGCGATATTGGCCTTAAAGAGGAGGTAGAGAGAGAGGGGTGTAGAAAGTTTATTCAAAGGGTTAGTAACAGAACTTCCCAAACCTACAGAAAGATACCAATATCCAAGTACAAGAAAGTTATAAAACATCAAGCCGATTTAACTCAAAGAAGACTACCTCAAGGCATTGAATAATCACATTCCCAAAAATCAAGGATAAAGAAATGATTTTAAAAGCAGCAAGACAAAAGAAACCAATAATATACAGTGGAGGTACAATACGTCTGGCAGCAGACTTTTTAGTAGAAAGGTTTCAGGCCAGGAAGAGTGGCATGACATATTGAAAGTCCTGAAGGAAAAAAAACATTTACTCTAGGACAATATATCCAGTGAAAATATCCTTCAAAGTGAAGAATAAATAAAGACTTTTCCACACAAACAAAAGCTGAGGGATTTCATCAACACCAGACCTATCCTTGAAGAAATGCTAAAGGGAGTTCTTCAGTCAGAAAGACAAGGACATTAATGAGCAATAAGTAACCATCTGAAGGTATAAAAGTCACTGGTAATAGTAAATACACAGAAAAATGCAGAATGTTATAACACTGTAGCTATGATGTATAAACTACTCTTATTCTAAATAGACTGAACTAGGAGCCAATCAAATATATCAACTACAACAACTTTTCAAGACATAGTATAAGATATAAATAGAAATAACAAAAAGTTAAAAAGTAGATAGACAAAGTTAATTTGTTGAGTTTTTATTAATTTTCTTTTTGCTTGTTTGTTTATGCAAACAGTGTTATAATAAGCTTAAAATAATGGGTTATAAGATAGTATTTGCAAACTTCATAGTAACCTCAAACCAAAAAACGCACAATGGGTACACAAAAAATAAAAAACAAAAAACTCATATCACCAGAGAAAATTACTTTCACTAATGGAAGACAGGAAGGAAAGAAGGAAGAGAGGACCACAAAACAACCAGAAAACAAATAACAAAATGGCCGGAGTAAGTTATAATAATAACACAGAATGTCAGTGGACTAAACTTTTTAATTAAGTGCCAGAGTGGCTAGATGGATGAAAAAACAATCCCCGACAGGCGCGGTGGCTCATGCATGTAATCTCAGCACTTTGGAAGACCGAGGCAGGCAGATCACGAGGTCAAGATATAGAGACCATCCTGGCCAACATGGTGAAACCTTGTCTCTACTAAAAATACAAAAATTAGCTGGGTGTGGTGGTTCGCACCTGTAGTCCCAGCTACTCAGAAGGCTGAAGCAGGAGAATCGCTTGAACCCAGGAGGCAGAGATTGCAGTGAGCCAAGATTGCACCACTGCACTCCAGCCTGGTAACAGAACACAACTCCATCTCAAAACAAACAAACAAAAACAAGACCCATGATCTGTTGCCTACAAGAAATACTCTATTCTCATAAAGATACACATAGACTGAAAATAAAGGGATGCAAAGATGTAGTTCATTCCAGGAGAAACCAAAAAAGAGCAGGAGTAGCTATCCTTATATCAGATAAAATAGATTTCAAGACAAAAACGGTAAGCAGAGACAAAGAATGTCACTATTTAATGATAAAGGGATCAGTTCAGCAAGAGGCTATCACAATTTTAAGTGTATATGTACCCAGCATATATACTTATACCCAACATATACACTGAGACCCAATGGCTTCCCTGCTGAATCCTACCAAACATTTAAAGAAGAATGAACACCAATCCTGCTTAAGCTGTTCCAGAAAGCAGAAGAGGAGGGAATACTTCCAAACTAAATCCACAAGGTCAGTATTACCCTGATACCAAAAGCAGACAAAGATGCATCAGAAAAGGAAGACAGGCCAGGTGCAGTGGCTCACACTTGTAATCCCAACAGTTTGGCAGGCCAAGGCAGGTGGATTACCTGAAGTCAGGAGTTCAAGAGCAACTTGGCCAATATGGTGAAATCCTTTCTCTACTAAAAATACAAAATTAGCTAGGTGTGGTGGTGTGTGCCTGTAATCCCTGCTACTTGGGAGGCTGAGACAGGATAATCACTTGAACCTGGTAGGCAGAGGTTGCAGTGAGCCAAGATCACGTCACTGCACTCCAGCCTGGGTGACAGAGTGAAGCTCAGTCTCAAGAAACAAAAAAGGCCAATATGTTTGATAAATATTGATGCAAGAATCCTCAACAACATACTAGAAAACTGAATTCAACAATATTTGGGAAAGTTTCATCATGACAAGTGGGATTTATCCCTGGGAAGCAAGGATTGTTCAACATAAGCAAATCAATGAGTGCGATACATCATATCAACACAATAAAGGATAAAAACCATAGGATCATTTCAGTTGATGCTGAAAGTGTCTGATAAAATTCAACATCCCTTCATGATAAACAATCTAAAAAAACTGGGTATAGAAGTAACACACCTCAACATAATAAAAGCCATTTATACAGTCAGATTCCCACAGTCAGTATCAAACTGAATGGGGAAAAACTGAAAAGCTTTCCTCTGAGATTTAGAACACAATGAGTTCACCACTGTTATTCAACATATTACCAGCAGTCCTCACTAGAGTCATCATAGAAGAGAAAGAAATAAAGGGAACAGAAATCCAAATTGATGTGGAAGAAGAAAAATTGTCCTTATGTTTGCAGATATGTTTTATTTGGAAAAAACTAAAGACTCAACAAAAAAACTTTTAGAATTGGTAAATTCAGTAAAGTTGCAGGATACAAAATCAACATACAAAAATCAGTAGCATTTCTGTATTCCAACAGCAAACCATTTGAAAAGGACATTTAAAAAGTGGTCCTATATACAATAGCCACAAATAAAATTAAATACCTAGGAATTAACCTAACCAAAGAGGTGTAAGATCTTTATAATGAAAACAATAAAACACTGTTGAAAGAAATTGAAGAGGACACCAAAAAATGGAAGGAGATTCCATATTCATAGATTGGAAGAATCAATATTGTTAAAACGTTCATACTATCCAAAGCAATTTACAGATTCAATGCATTCCCTGTCAAAATACGAATGACATTCTTCACAAAAATAGAAAAAATAATTCTGAAATTTATATGGAGCCACAAAAGACCCAGGATAGCCAAAGCCATTCTAAGCAAAAAGAACAAAACTGGAGGAATCACATTACCTGACTTCAAATTATACTACAGAACTATAGTAAGCAAAACAGCATGGCACTGGCATAAAAACAGACACGTAGACCAATGGAACAGAAGAGAGAACCCAGAAACAAATCCACACACTTGCAGTGAATTCATTTTCAAATGTGACAAGAACATACATTGAGGAAAAGACAGTCTCTTCAACAAATGGTTCTGGGAAAACTGAGTATACACATGCAGAAGACTACAACTAGACCCCTACCTCTCACCATATGCAACAATCAAATCAACATGGATTAAAGACTTAAATCTAAGACCTCAATGAACCTACTGCAAGAGAACACTGGAAGGAATCTCCAGGACATTGGTCTGAGCAAAAATTACTTGGGCAATACCCCACAAGCACAGGCAACCAAAGCAAAAATGGACAAATGAGATCACATCAAATTAAAAAGCTTCAAAGCAAAGGAAACAATTAACAAAGTGAAGAGACAGCCCACAGAATGGTAGAAGATATTTGCAAACAACCCACCTGACAAGGAGTTAACCTGAATATATAAGGAGGTCAAACAACTCTATTGGAAAAAAATCTAATTAATTTTTTAAATGAGCAGAAGATTTGAATAGGCATTTCTCAAAAGAAAACATACAGATGGTAAACAGGCATGTGAAGAGGTGCTTAACATTATTGATCATTATAGAAATTAACAATGTAGAAAACTACCGTGAGATATCATCGCACCCCAGCTAAAATGGTTTATATCCAAAAGTCAGGCAATAGCAAATGTCGGCAAAGATGTGAAGATAAGAGACCCCTCATACACTGTTTGTGGAAATGTAAATTAGTGGAACCACTATGGAGAACTGTTTGGAGGGTCCTCAAAAAAGTAAAAATAGAGCTATCATATGTCTCGCAATCCCACTGCTGGGTGTATACCCACAAGAAAGGAAACCAGTATATAGAAGAGATGGCCAGATGCAGTGGCTCATGCCTGTAATCCCAGCATTTTGGGAGGCCGAGGCTGGCAGATCACCTGAGGTTGGGAGTTCGAGACCAGCCTGACCAACATGAAGAAACTCCACCTCTATTAAAAATACAAAATTAGCTGTGCATGGTAGCATATGCCTGTAATCCCAGCTACTCAGGAGGCTGAGGCAGGAGAATCGCTTGAACCCAGGAGGTACAGAGGTTGCAGTGAGCCAAGATCGTGCCATTGTATTCCAGCCTGGGCAACAAGAGCAAAACTCCATCTCAAAAAAAAAAAAAAAAAAAAATAGATATCTGCATTCCCATGTTTGTTGCAGCACTGTTCATAATAGCTAAGATTTATTTTTATTTACTTATTTATTTATTTATGAGACAGAATCTCTCTCTGTCACCCAGGCTGGAGTGCAGTGGCACGATCTTGGCTCACTGCAACCTCTGCCTTTCAGGTTCAAGTGGTTCTCCTGCCTCAGCCTTCTGAGTAGATGGGACCGCAGGCACATACCATCAAGCCTAGCTAATTTTTGTCTTTTTAGTAGGGACAGGGTTTCACCGTGTTAGCCAGAATGGTCTCAATCTCCTGACCTCATGATCCACCCACCTCGACCACCCGAAGTTCTGGGATTACTGGTCTGAGCCACCATGCCCAGCCAATAGCTAAGATTTAAAAGCAACGTAAGTGTCCATCAACAGACAAATGGATAAAGAAAATATAGTACATATACACAAGAGAGTATTATTTAGCCATAAAAAAGAAAGAGATCCTGTCATTTGCAACAACATGGATGGAACTAGAGATCACTATGTTAAGTGAAATAAACCAGGCACAGAAGGACAAATATCACATGTTCTCACTTATTTGTGAACTCTTAAAAAAAAAAATTGAACTCGTAGAGAGTAGAAGGATGATCATCAGAGGGGCTGGGAATAGTAGGGTTTTGGGGGTGGGGAAGTGGGGATGGTCAATGGGTAAAAAAAAAAATGGAAAGAATGAATAACATCTAGTATTTGATAGCACAACAGATTGACCATAGTCAAGAATAACTTAATTGTACATTTTTAAATGACTGAAAGAGTATAATTGAATTGTTTGTAACATGAACGATAAATGCTTGAAGGGATAGGTACCCCATTGTCCACAATAAGTGTGATTAGTATACATTTAGTTATACCTCTTACTGTATTTAAATTGCCATATTGGTGCTTTAGTCATATATATGTGTCAAATGATTAATATAAATTTATTGTTTGTAAATTTCCAATGAATTTTATATTTTCCCCTTAGTCTTAACATTTTAAATAACTCATGAAAGTAGAATTCTTAATGGGGATGAGTCAATAGTTTGTGGTCTTTAAATATTCCTGTCTCTTCTTGCAGGAGGAATTAACTTACATATTTTTTTGTTTTATATTACAGGAGACAGCATTATTTTTCTGACTTATTTAACATTTTAGATATTGCCATTATTGTGATTACTCTGCTGGTTGATGTCATTTACATTTTTTTTGACATTGAGTTTCTTAGTGATATTCCCAGGTATGAAACATAAGACTTACCTCTCTTAATTAACTTTTTGCATTTTCCATGGCTTTTATACTACGTAATCTTTTCAACTTCAAATGTTCTCGTTCTGTACCAAACACATTGCTTTAAAAAAAAGGCATAGTCCCACATACTTTGAAACAAAAAGATTGTGATATTTAGGGACCAGTGAAGAGTATACACACTAAGTACAATTAATTGAATAAAGAAGATGGAGTACCCAAAGAAGGACTTTTACCTCTTGTACTACCTTTAACTTCTCTACATTTTGAATTTCTCATTATATTCCCATTTTTATCACTTTTCAGCCTTTTGGCTAAGATCAAGTGTGATATTCTTATCAGTTTAATAACTGGTACATCAAAAAATTTTATATTAAAAACAATTCCCCTCTGTGCTTCAACTACAAATCCCTTACACATAATGTTCTCTCTAGATTTTTCCTACAGCCAAGCAGAAATTTATTTGAGCATATGCTAAATTTGAGTGACTTCAATCATGAGTTTCTAAAAAAAATAGCAAACAGAACAGAAAACTAGGAGATGACACGTATAGCAACACAATGGTAGAGTTTTGCAGTATAGTTGTGGTAGAAACAAAGAAAGCTAACACAAAGTTAGAACTGTTAGGGATTAGGAAACTAAAGAGTGTTTGAGGACCTGGTGACTTTTTTCTTCTTTTTTTACTGTGACAGTGAGGAAAATGGAAGAGCAAATGTGTACTGGAATGTAGGTGGTGGCTTCCTAAGCTTGTTCATGGGTCAAATAGCTGGTTTCTTTCTGTACCCTAGCTTCCCTAGACTACAACTCAGGCCCTAACTAAGCATGTTAAGTAATAGGGTTTTGGAGTTATTTGAAAATAACTTCAGCTAATATGATCCTCTGACGAGAAACCTCAGCATCTCTTGAGAGCTTACTAGAAATACAAGAAAAATACCTTAGGGCCCACTTTGGACCCGCTGAATCAATATTTCTGGGACCCTGCAATCTGTAGCTTAACAGGCTTTTTCAGATGGCTCTTATTTATGTGTGCCCAAATTAAAGAAGCACTAGTCCAGACCATCATTCTCTGCTTTGGTGTTTCTGATGGTAGGAGAGATGCCAGCTAGTACACTTGGGAAGTATCTCAATCTGTTTCCTGCCTGATGTGCATTAGCAGCTGTAGTGAACCCCTGTTACTTATGGGAGTAACAGAGATGAACAAGAATTCTCAATTTGTTTTTCTGTGGAAAAATTGAAAATGCTAGTCTTAAATCCCAAAATTAAATTGACAAATTCTAAGTCTATTGACTTAGACCAGAATTTTTCAAATTCAGCATTACGGACATTTTAGGCCAGATCATTGTCATAAGAGGATGGTGAGCAGTTATATTAATTACAGGATGTTTAGCAGAATTCCTGGCCTCTATCCACTAGATGTAACACACATATACCCCAGTTGTGAAAACCAAAAATGCCTCAAGGCATTGCCAAATATCCCCCAGCTGGGTAATTGAGGAGAGGAGGGAAAATTGTCCCTGCTTAGCAACTGCTGCTCTAGACATAGTTTATATTGATAAAATTTTGTTTTTGAAGCAAAAAATTGATCTTTTAAATTTATCATTAGATGGACACCTGTAGTTCGACTTCTACGACTTATTATTCTGATAAGAATTGTTCATCTGGCTCATCAAAAAAGACAGCTTGAAAAGCTGATCAGAAGGCTGGTAAGTGGGCAAAACATGCTTGTGATTTCGTAAAATATTTTGTGTTTTGGGACCTATTGGCAAGGGTCGATATCTATACTGTATAATGTTCTTTATTTTTATGTTGATAAATGTTTCACAAACTAATGATGGTTTTAAACTCTCAGGTTTCAGAAAACAAAAGGCGATACATAAGGGATGGATTTGACCTAGACCTCACTTATGTTACTGGTTTGTAACACTTAACTGTTGATTTACTTGTATTACTTCACTTTTTCTTGTAATCATATTTTTATTTTGTTTTTGCCTTGTCTAAGCCACATTCATTCAAAGTATTCTTTTTTTTTTTTTTTTTTTTTTTAATTTTTTTTTTTTTGAGACGGAGTTTCGCTCTCGTTGCTCAGGCTGGAGTGCAATGGCGCGATCTCGGCTCACCGCAACCTCCGCCTCCTGGGTTCAGGCAATTCTCCTGCCTCAGCCTCCTGAGTAGCTGGGATTACAGGCACGCGCCACCATGCCCAGCTAATTTTTGTATTTTTAGTAGAGACGGGGTTTCACCATGTTGACCAGGATGGTCTCGATCTCTTGACCTCGTGATCCACCCGCCTCGGCCTCCCAAAGTGCTGGGATTACAGGCTTGAGCCACCGCGCCCGGCCAAAGTATTCTTTATTCATGAGGATATATGCCACTGTGATAGTGTGACATGTTTGTGGTTCAGTCCTGGCAATGGAAGATTTCCACGTCATTTCAATTCACAACTACTTGGTTGCACCACAGGAACTTGAATAGATTTTCAGGTGTCTCCATTCGAGTTTCAATTTATTGAGCTCTAGTAGTTACTCTAAGTCCCAAGGATCCCAGAGAAACCTCTTCTCTTCCTAGAACCCCAGAGAATGTGGTCACTGCTTTGTAGATCTCAGGTTTTCTGAGTCAGAGGGCTGCAGAGCACTTTGGGAATTCCCACCCTCACTGGTACCCAGAACTCTTGGATCTTCTCTGATATTTAAGACAAAAAATAAATTTTAAGAATAAGAGGATCTTCAGAATGAGGTCAACATAAGTACACGGGATATGGTTAGAACCAGTAGAGTCTTAAGAACACCATGCCAGTTTAATGGTCATTATGTTGTACAATTTAATATGTTATTTTATTATCCTGAGTATTAGCTCTTTTCTGTCAACCTCAATCTTAAAAGTTTTTTTTTTTCTGTGAAAATGGAGTCTGATTACATATAAATTAATTTTTTGTATGTTATCTATAATAATGTTTGTAATAGTGATGATTTTGACTTTCAGAACGTATTATTGCTATGTCATTTCCATCTTCTGGAAGGCAGTCTTTCTATAGGAACCCAATTGAGGTAAGGATATTTCTCTGACAAATACTCATTTCTCAGTGAGGTGTAGACTGTGTAGTCATAAGTTTAATATTGACCCAGAAATGGCAGTATTCTTTTTCAAGTAAAAAAATTCATAATGGATTGATTCCAGTTACAACTGTACCAGTGGTTACAAAACACCCCAAAACTTACTGGCTTATAACAGCAACTATTTATTTGGCTCATGATACTATGGTTTGTGAATTTGGGATGGGCTTAACTGTCCAATTTGGGTGCTCACAGAAAGGATTTCCTATCTCAACTAAGCTCATTCATGTATCTGTGGGCAGCTACTGGGTCATCTGAGGACTGGCTAGTCTAAAATGCCTTGGCTACTCTCAATGGACAGAGCTATTGCATGCCACATGCACCCCCCCCAAGGCCCAAGGCCCATCCCATCTGGCACCCACTGCTGCAAACAGCCCCACCCCCTTCACCAGTAGAGCCACCATATGCTGCATGCACTTCTAAGACCCTGAGGACTGGCCTACCTGGTGTCCACCCTGCTGATGGCAACACCCCACAACTAGCAAAGCCACTGCACCTAACATGCCTATGCCTAGGGCCTAAGAACTAATCTGAATGATGGCTCCCACTCCAAGAAAAACCATACCACTGTCTGTACAAACTCTCACCATCAGGCCACTGAGGCACCCACAGACACCACTGAATGCTGATTACAGCCAAAGAAGTTACATGAAGACTATATGGCCAAGCACAGTGGCTCACGCCTGTAATCCCAGCATTTTGGGAGTTCAAGGTGGGCGGATCATGAAGTCAAAAGATCAAGACCATCTTGGCCAACATGGTGAAACCCTGTCTCTACTAAAAATACAAAAATTAGCTGGGTGTGGTGACACACACCTGTAGTCTCAACTACTTGGGAGGCTGAGGCAAGAGAATTGCTTGAACCCAGGAGGCGGAGGTTGCAGTGAACTGAGATTGCACCACTGCAGTCTAGCTCGGCAACAGAGTGAGACTCCACCTCAAAAAAAAAAAAACAAAAAAAACAAAAAAAACAAGAAGACTGTATCACTGTAGCCACCCAAAACCAAAGTCAAAGTACCCTACTCAATGAACACTATAGGAGACAACTATTGGAAAAAGCATTTCTCTATGAAAGCTCCCTAATATTGGAAGAGGCATCTGTTTCCCTAGATGTGCAAAAATCAACTTAGGGCCACAAGAAACGTAAAATGCAGGAACATTACACCTCCAAAGAAACACAATAATTCCCCATTAACAGATCCTGTATTTTAAGAATATATCAAATGACTAAGAAGAAATTCAAAATAATAACCTTAAGAAAACTCTATGAGATTCAAGAGAATACAGATAGACATATGGATGAAATTAGAAAAAAAATTTATGATCTTCTGAGAAATTCAACAAAGATATATATGTCATTAAAAACCAGACAGAGATCTTGGAGCTGAATAATTTAAGGAATAAAATAAAAAATACAATCAAGAGTCCAGGTGCAGTGGCTCACATCTGTTATCCCAGCGCTTTGGGAGGCCAAGATAGTGGATCACTTGAGGCCAGGCATTCAAGATAAGCCTCATTAACGTGGTAAAATCCTGTCTCTAAAAAATACAAAAATTAGTTGGGTTTGGTGGCACATGCCTGTAATTCCAGCTGCTTGGGAGCCTGAAGCATGAGAATTGCTTGAACCCAGGAGGTGGAGGTTGCAATGAGCCAAGACTGTGCCACTGAACTCCAGCATGGGTGACAGAGCAAGTCCCTGTCTCAAAAAAAAAAAAAAAAATCAAGGGCTTTAAAAACAGACATGGGAGAGATATGGCCAAAATCTAGGAAGCTCAAAGGTTCTCAAGTAGATTAAATCCAAAAAGATCTTCTCTGAGATGCATAATAGTCAAACTGTCAAAAGTCAAAAAGAGGGAATATTGTTTGAGTGCAGTGGTTCATACCTATAATCCCAGCCAGCACTTCAGGAGGCTGAGGTGGGTGGGTAACTTGAGGCCAGGAGTTCAAGACCACCATGGACATTATAAAGAGACTCCATTTCTACTACTAATAAAAATTAACTGAGTGTGGTGGCATGCACCTGTAGTTCCAGCTACTTGGGAGGCTGAATCATGAAAATTGCTTAAACCCAGGAGGTGGATGTTATAGCGAGTTAAGATCACACCACTGCGCTACAGCCTGGGTGACAGAGTGAGACTGTCTCAAAAAAAAAAAAAAAGGAAAAAGAAAAAATATTAAAAATGACAGTAAAATGGTCACATATAAGAGAACCTCCATTTGATTAACAGTGGGTTTCCCAGTGGAAACTTTACAGATCAGTAGACAATGAGATGGGATGATATATTCAAAGTATTGAAAGGAAAAAGAAGAAGAAGAAAAAAAACACCTGTCGACTAAGAATACTATACCCAGCAGAGCTATCTCCTAGAAATGAGAGAGAAATAAAATATTTCCCAGACAAGCAAAAACTGAGGAAATTCATCACCACTAGACTGGCCTTACAAGGTCTGCTTAAGGTGGTGCTACATCTGGAAGCAAGAGAATGATTACCATTGTGAAAACACACAAAAATATAAAACTCACTGGTAGAGCAGATACACACATGAAAAAGAGAAAGGAATCAGACTTCATCACTACAGAAAAATACAAAGCCACAAAGATTTTTTTAAAAATATGGGAAGAAAAGAACAAAGGATATACAAAACAACCAGAAAAAAATGAACAAAATGAAAAAATAAAGCCTTATCTATTTATAATAACTTTGAATGTAATGTAAACAGATCAAATTCCCAATTAAAAGATATAGAGTTGGTTGCCAAGATTAAAAAAAAAAAAAAGACCCAACTATATACTGCCAACAAGAAACTAACTTCACCTGTAAAGGTACACAGACTGAAACTGAAGGGATAGAAAAAAATATTTTAGGCAAACAGAAACCAAAAGTGAGCAGGAGCAGTTATGTAAGATAAAACAGACTTTAAGTCAAACTGCATGAAGAGATAAAGAAGGTCATTTTATAATGATAAAGGGATCATTATAAGATCATAATAAGATATAATAATTATAAACATATATGTACCCAACACTAGAGCACTCAGATAAACAAGAAAAATATTATTAGATCTAAAGGGAAAGATAGATTCCAATGCAGTCATAGTTGGGACCTTTAATATCCCACACTTAGCACTGGAAAGGTCATCTAGACAGTAAATCAGCAAAGAAATATCCGATTTAAGCTTACATATAGGTATAAGTTCTGGAGTTCTATAGTGCTTTAGGGTAACTACAGTTAACAATAATTTATTATATATTTTTAAATAGAGAGGAGGTTGAGTATTCCCAACACAAATATTTGAGGTGATAGATATGCTGATTGTCCTGATTTTATCATTATACATTGTATATAGGTATTGAGATATCACTCTCTACCTTATAAATATGAACAAGTATCATGTGTCAATTAAAAATATTTTTAAAGAATGAAGGAAAAAGATTTTTTTTAATGAAAGGAAAGAAAATAACGTGACTTGGCCTAATGGCCCCATGTGGTCTCTCATTCTCCAGTAGGCTGCTTCAGGCCTGTTCACATGATGGCAGAGACAAGAGTCCCAGGAGCAGCAAGCAAAACAATGTGAATCCTCTTAAGGCCCAGGCTCAAAATTAGTATATTACTTCTACCCCACTTTATTAGACAATGCAAATTACACTACCAGTCTGGATTCAAGAAGTAGAAAATAAACTCCAATACTTGATGGAAGGAATTTTAAAGAAATGTGGCCGTTTTTGATAGTCTACCATAGGGAAGAAGGATGGGGATGCTATAACCAAAATGTGTGTTCTTAGGTTGAGATCCTAAATTATATTCAGGGCATACTGCTTTAGGCTCTGTGGATGACTAAATTAATTTCAAATGTACAATGCTGTTTACTGTGAAATGCTAGCTGAAAGGATCATTGTTTAATTTTATGTAATTTGTAATACTTATACCTCAAGAAAAATATAATTATTGAAGACTGACATCAGTTGCTGAGAGGTGGAAGGAATACCTCTCTGCAGCGTGTTAGCTCAGGTCTGAACAGGACAGGGCCGCAAGTTGAGATACTTCCCAGAAAATGGCCTGAATCACCAACCTGAGTCATCATCCCATGACTGGAGAATGTGGACACATTATTTTATCAAGAAACTGGTGATAAACCAAGGGCTATGGGAATTAAGAACTAGGGCTGAAAAAGAAATGTTTAGAGTGATCCAACATGGCCAATTAGAAGCAGCTGCAGTCCACACTATTCAGGAAGAGGAATGAAAAAGGGCAAGTAAATTCAGCACTTTCAACTGAGATATCCAGATTCTCACATTGGGACTGACTCAATGAACAGCTCAGCCTATGGAGAACAAAGAAAAGTGGAGAGAGGGTGCAACGGCCCAGCAGGGAGCAGCATGGAGCCAAAGGAACCCCCACTCCCAGCCAAAGGAAGCAGTGAGTGATTGTGCAGTCCTGCCCAGGAAACTCTGCTTCTTCCATGGATCTTTGCAACCTGTGGATCAGGAGATCCCCTTGTGAGCCCACGCCACCAGGGCCTTGGGTCTGATACACAGAGCTGTGTGGAGTCTCGGCACATTAGTTGTTCAGGCACACACAGAAATCCAGGAGTTTTGCATACTCCAGCCCCTGGGATCTTCAGCACAGTAGGAAATCTGTCCATACATATCTCTGGGAAGATGGCTGAATCCAGGGAGCAGGCAGTGTCATTCTGCAGGCCCCATTTCCATGGCACCTCACAGGTTAAAACCCACTGGCTTGGAATCCTAGCCAGCCAACAGCAGCGGGTTAGAGTCTGCCTCAGATGAGTCTGAGTTACCGGGGAGTTGGGGAGGCACAGCCAGAATCACTGTGGTTCATAGACTTAGCCACTCCAGCCTGCCAGCTATGAGAATACAGACCGTCTGGACAAAAAAAGAGATCCCCACAGCGCAGCTAATTGTGACCAGACTGCTTCTTTAAGCAGGACCCCAGTTCATTCCTCCTCACTGGGCAGGACTCCCTACAGGGGCTTTAACTATTCCAGCAATGGCTCTATGGACAGAGATTTCATCTCTCCCTGAAATGGAGCTCCTGGCAGGAGGAGCAGCTGCCATCTCTGCAGTTTGGCCAACTCAGCCACTCCAGCCTGCTAGTTTTGGAGAATATAGGTGGTCTAGAGAGGGAAATGTCCCCAGAATGTAGCACACCTGCTCCACCCAAAAGCAGCCAGATTGCTTCTTTGGATGGGTTCCTGATCCCATGCCTCCTGACTGAATGAGAATGCCCAACAGGGGTCTCCAGCCACCTCCTGCAGGTACGTGCAAGTTGGCTACCAGTCAGTATACTCCTGGGATAGAGCTTCCAAAGGAAGGAGCTGGCTGCCATCTTTGCTGTTTTGCAGTCTTCACTGGTAATAGCTCCAGGTGCTGGAGAAACTTAGGTGACTGGGGTATGGAATGGACCCCCAGCAAACTGCAGAAGCACTATAGTAGAGTGGCCTGTTAAAGAAAAAACAAACAGAAAATAACAACAACTGCTCAAAGAAATCAGAGAATACATACAAAAAAATGGAAAAACATTTCATGCTCATGCATAGAAAGAATAAATATTGTGAAAATGGTCATACTGCCCAAAGCAGTTTATAAATTCAATGCCATTCCCATTAAACTATCACTGAAATTCTTGACAGAATTAGAAAAAAAAAAAAAAAAAAAACTATTTTAAAATTGATATGGAACAACAACAAAAAGAGCCCGAATAGCTAAGACAATCCCAAGCAAAAAGAACAAAGCTGAAGCCATCCTGCTACCTGACTTCAAACTATACTACAAGGCTACAGTATCCAAAAACAGCATGGTACTGGTACAAGAACAGACATATAGACCAATGGAACAGAATAGAGAACTCAGAAATAAGACCGCACACCTACAACCATCTGATCTTCAAAAACTTGACAAAAACTAGCAATGGGGAAAGGACGCCCTATTCAATAAATGGTGCTGGAGTGCTGGTTAGCCATATGCAGAAAATTGAAACTGGACTTCTTCCTTACACCATCTTAAAAAATTAACTCAAGACTTAAATGTAAAACCCCAAACTGTAAAAACTCTAGAATAAAATCTAGGCCATGCCATTCAGGACATAGGCATGATCATAATGAAAATGCCAAAAGCAATTGCAACAAAAGCAAAAATTGGCAAATGAGATCTCTGATATTCAGAATCTACGAGGAACTTAAATTTATGAGAAAAATACACAACACCATTAAGAAGTGGACAAAGGATATGAACAGACACTTCACAAAAGAGACATACATGCAGTCAACAAAAATATGAAAAAAAGCCGGGCGCGGTGGCTCAAGCCTGTGATCCCAGTACTTTGGGAGGCCAAGGCGGGTGGATCACAAGGTCAAGAGATCGAGACCATCCTGTTCAACATGGTGAAACCCCGTCTCTACTAAAAATACAAAAAATTAGCTGGGCATGGTGGCACGTGCCTGTAATCCCAGCTACTCAGGAGGCTGAGGCAGGAGAATAGCCTGAACCCAGCAGGCGGAGGTTGCGGTGAGCCGAGATCGCGCCATTGCACTCCAGCCTGGGTAACAAGAGTGAAACTCCGTCTCAAAAAAAAAAAAAAAAAAAGCTCAACCTCACTGATCATTAAAGAAATGCAAACAAAACCACAATGAGATACCATCTTATGCTAGTCAGAATGGCCATTATTAAAAAGCCAAAAAAACAACATATGCTGGCAAGGTTGCGGAGGAAAAGGAATGCTTTTATACTGTTGGTGGGTGTGTAAATTAGTTCAACCCTTGTGGAAGACAGTGTGTCAAATCCTGAAAGACCTAGAGGCAGAAATACCATTTGACCTAGCAATCCCATCACAGGGCATATACCCAAAGGAATATAAATCATTGTCTTCTAAAGATACATGCATGTACACATATGTTCATTGCAGCAGTATTCACAATAGCAAAGACGTGGTATCAACCTAAATGCCCATCAAAGATAGATGGGATAAAGAAAATGTAGTACATAGCGAGAGTGGGACATCTGGTTTCCAAGCGGGAACCTTTATTTACCTGTGTAATAAACCTGCATATCCTGCACATGTACCCCTGAACCTAAAATAAAAGTTGAAGTAAAAAGATGTATAAAATTATCTATATGTACGTATGCCCTGATGTAAGTACACATATGTATATGCATGCATATCTAATCACGTTTTTATTGAGGTATAACACATATGGTTAAGTTGCACTCATCAAGTGTATATCTTGATATTATACATAAGTATATATGCATGTAACTAGCACCTCTGTCAATATATTGATCTATGACTGATCTCCAATTGTTGTAAATATATAAAGTATGAAGGTTCATGTTTCTCATAGAGCTATCAATCCCTCCTGTACCATTTATTGTAAAGAGCATAATTGCCCCCGATGAACTGCAGAGGTATGTTTATTGCAAATCAAATGAACTATATGTGTAGGTCTGTTTCTGGGCTTTTGTCCTTTCATTATGACTTGTCTGTCTTAAGTCCAGACCACAGTTTTAATCTTTTTGACTTATTATATTCTCCTAACAGAAAACAAGTTTAATAAATGGATGACTTTGATACCTTAATTTTATTTTTCTCAATATTAAGCCTGTAAACATTGCTCTGAGGTTACCATACTAATCAGTTTTAAAATTTTGTGTCATTTTTGTTGTTGCACAGAGATATATATGTTTATGTGTGTATGTTTCAGAAAGATATATTTCCTGAAAATAATGGGACTCATATACTGGTATTAACTGTATTTTAAATAATAACTACTATTTGTTTTTCATTTTAAAGGTTATACACATATATATACACACGTGTGTGTGTGTATATATATATACACACACTCATAAGTACACATATATCTTCATTAAAAAAAAATAAGAGAACAGATGAGCCAAAAAAGTCTCAATAGTGTTACCAGTTATTTAAAATTTGATATAATGTTTATCTTTTTCTGTCATGCATACACACGATCATACTATATACTTTTTGCATTTATTTGTTTACATAGTGCTTAGGTAGACTGTAACATGCAGATCACTATCTTAAGACGCATCTATTCAGAATTAAATTTAAATAAGAACCAGTATGAATCAGATTTAAATAAGAACCACATTAACTGTGAATTAGTGATTTGGAACAAATTTACTTAAAGTTAGTTAACCAGCTAATTTACTTATCTGATCGCTTTAAACAGTGTGTATTTACACTAGAGACTAATCTGAATAGCCAAACATACTTTGTGGACTACGTGAAAAAAACACAGTGGATTAACACTTGAAATTTGCATACCCTGGTATTCCCTGAATCTCCCCTAGAAGACGCTAGTGAGAGACAAATTAATAGAAAGTAGTAACCACTGGGCTGGGCACAGTGGCTCACGCCTGTAATCGCAGCACTTTGGGAGGCCGAGGCAGGTGGATCACTAGGTCAGGAGTTCAAGACCAGCCTGGCCAAGGCCAAGATGGTGAAACCCCGTTTCTACTAAAAATACAAAAAATTAGCCAGGCATGGTGGCACACAACTGTAATCCCAGCTACTCAGGAGGCTGAGGCAGAGAATTGCTTAAACCTGGAAGGCAGAGGTTGCAGTATGCAGAAACTGCGCCACTGCACTCCAGCCTCGGCGACAGAGTGAGACTCCATCTCAAAAAAAAAAAAAAAAAAAAAAAAAAGGTGCCATGTGGATATGTAAGGTGTGTGTGTGTTTTTTTTTAGGAAGTTGTACGGTTTCTAGACAAGAAGCACCCAAACCACTATCGTGTCTACAATCTCTGCAGTATGTACATTACTCTATATGTTGCTACTGTATCTAGAAAGTAGATTACTGCATATAAGAAGATGATTTTGTTTTTTATATTGCATTTAATCATAAGTATTTCATAGTGGTGAGGAATGAATTTTAAAATCCCCGCCTTGGACTGGCCCCGTTTGGTAGGAGTTAGCCTAGCAGCACAAAGTACTCTATGAAGGAGGCAGTTCTGGCAGGACCAATGAGGCTGGCATGGAAGCAAACCATTTTAGGGAAGATCTGTTCTGGCAATACTAGGTTTAGGAGAATCTTTCTGTTTCTCCTGCCAGATTGTGTTATGAGGACATAGACAATTTAACAAATGAGTCCTCTGATCCATCAGCAGTGGGTTGTGATGAGAGCAGGGCCGTAGATGGGAAAAAAGCAAAAAAAACAAAAACAAAAACAAACAAACAAAAAAACTCTGTAGAAAATAGGTTGTAACCCAGCTTACCACTCTGTCTCTCTTGATTTTTCCCTCTACCTGTATACTAAATAGACATTTTCAGAAGGCAGTCTTTTTGGTCAGCTGCATTTGCCTCTTGTGTGGTTTCTAACTACTCTGCAATAATATAATGAGTAGTCTGTTAGAAAGTTAAAAATTACACCTATTAAACAAAAGTAAGTTGAGTTTAGGGTACATGAGATGGGTAAACCACTACTATTCTTACATTTTTGAGACCTTTACATTTATTTTAGAGCAGCAGGAGCAACTTGGAAAGCTCTTTTTGAAGATGGATAAGGAATTTCTAATAAGATATGTTGCCGGGCGCGGTGGCTAAAGCCTGTAATCCCAGCACTTTGGGAGGCCGAGGCGGGTGGATCACAAGGTCGAGAGATCGAGACCATCCTGGTCAACATGGTGAAACCCCGTCTCTACTAAAAATACAAAAAATTAGCTGGGCATGGTGGCACATGCCTGTAATGCCAGCTACTCAGGAGGCTGAGGCAGGAGAATTGCCTGAACCCAGGAGGCGGAGGTTGCGGTGAGCCGAGATCGCGCCATTGCACTCCAGCCTGGGTAACAAGAGCGAAACTCCGTCTCAAAAAAAAAAAAAAAAAAGATATGTTAACCTATTAATAACTTCATCATTTACTATGGTATTACCTATAGAGATATGACATACATATTATTTATTTTAGGTGAAAGAGCTTATGATCCTAAGCACTTCCATAATAGGGTCAGTAGAATCATGATTGATGACCATAATGTCCCCACTTTACGGTAAGTTTTATGCTAAGTTGACTATCAGAAAGAGGGCTAAATATATTGGGCTTAATTTTTTAAAAATAACTGAAAATCTTAAACTTGGAATCAGTGAGATGGTGGTATTCTCAAAGGAAGCAAGTGAGTGGATGACTCAAGATCCCGAAAACATCATAGCGATTCACTGTAAAGGAGGCAAAGGTAAAACATTTTCCTTTTTATTTCTCCCTTTCTAAAGACATGTAACTATAGATACAGTACAAGAGCAAGATACATATTGCTATTAATAAGTATTAATAATTGTTAGCATTTAAAAATATTAGCTCCAAGACTGAAAGAAGGGAAGGAGAAAGGAAGGAGGGCAGGAGGAAAGGTAAGAGACAAGGAGAGGATAAGAAAGGGAAGAAAGTAGGAAAAAAAAAACTCAGGTTGAGCATATTTTTTCTTTTTTTTCCTACTATTTGGATTTCTTTATTTTTGGTTTTCCAGTTTATATCTCTCAAAATATAAATAGTCTTTAATTTTAGAATGTGAGAGTACTTTCATTTTATTTAAGGTGGCTTTTTATTTGTAAATTAACAAATAAAAATCAGTATATTTATGGTATACAACATGATGTTTTGATATATGTAAACATTGTGAAACGGCTAAATCCAGCTAATGAACATGTGCATCACTCCACATACTTTTTTTGTGGTGAGAACGTTTAAAATCTACTCTCTTAGCAATTTTCAAGTATACATTATTATTAACTGTGGTCACTATGTTGTACAATAAATTTCCTGAACTTACTCTTCCTATCTAACTGAAATTCTGCATCGTTTAACCAACATCTCAGGCCGTGTGCAGTGGCTCATGCCTGTAATCCCAGCACTTTGGGAGGCCGAGGTGGATGGATCACCTGAGGTCAGGAGTTCAAGACCAGCCTGGCCAACATTGTGAAATCCTGTCTCTACTAAAAGTACAAAAAATTAGCTGGGTATGGTGGTGTATGCCTGTAATACCAGCTACTTGAGAGCCTAAGGCAGGAGAATTGCTTGATTACCAGAGGTGGAGTTTGCAGTGAGCCGAGATCGCACCATTACACTCCAGTCTGGGCAACAAGAACAAAATTCCATCTCAAGAAACAATAATAAAATAAAAACCCACATCTCCACAATCCCCTCACTTTTGTCCCCCCAGTCCCTGGTAACCACCCTTCTACTCTCTGCTTCTATGAATTTGACTTTCTTAGATTCCACAAATAAGTGAGACATGCAGTATTTGTCTTTCTATGCCTGGCTTATTTCACTGAGCATAACATTCTCCAGGTTCATCCATATTATCTCAAGTGACAGGATATCTTCTAAGGCTGAATAGTATGCCCTTATGTGTATATACCACATATTCTTTATCCATTCATCCATTGATGACATTTAGATTGACTCCATAGCTTGGCTATTGTAAATAATGCTGCAGTGAACATGGGAGTGCAGATTTCATTTCCTTTGGATATATACACAAATATACACGAAAGTGGAATCTCCAAATTTTATGGTAGTTATATTTTTTTTGTTTTTGTTTTTGTTTTTTTTTTTGTGGAATCTCTGTGCTGTTTTTCATAATAACTACTAATTTACATTCATACCAACAGTGTGCAAGGGTGTTCTCTTTTCTCTACATCCTCACCAACTCTTCTTTTGTCTTTTTGTTTATGACCATCCTAACAGGTATGAAAATATCTCTTTGTGATTTTAATTTGCTTTTCCCTGATGATTAATGATGTTTAACATTTTTTCATATACCTCTTGGCCATTTGTATGTCTTCTTTAGGAAAATATCTTTTCAGGTTCTTTGCCCAATTTCTAGAGAAGTAACTTGTTCTCTTGCTATTGTGTTGAGTTCCTTTTTTCAAAAAAAAAAAATTAACCTGTTGTCTAATGTAAGCTTTGCAGATATTTTCTCCCATTCTGTAGGTTGCCTCTTTATAATTGTTTCCTTTGCTGTGCAAATGCTTTTTAGTTTGATACAATATCATTTGTCTATTTTTCCTTTTGTTGCGTATGCTTTTCAGTCATATCCAAAAAAATCTTGGCCCAGACCAATGTCAAGAAGATTTTTCCCTATGTTTTATTCTAGTAGTTTTCCAATTTCAGGTTTCACAGTTAAGCGTTTACTTTGAGTTGATTTTTGTATATGGGGTGAGATAGTGTACAATTTCACTCTTCCAAAAGTAAATATCCAGTTTCCCCAGTATCGTTTATTGAAGAGACTGTCCTTTCCCCATCATGGATTCTTGGCACCTTTGTCGAAGATCAGCTGACTATAAATGCATGGATTTATTCTGGGCTTTCCATTCTGTTCCATTGGTCTGTAATGTCTGTTTTTGTTTCAGTAATATTTAAGGTTGTTGTTATATTTTGTGAGAATCTTTTAGATTCAGGGAGCCAATAGAGATGCTATTTCAAAAATTATACTGGAATTTTGATAGTGTAATGATAAAAAGAAATTGACATTATTGGTGGGGTTAAAATGGGGGGAAAAAGCCATTTGTAAATCCAACCAATTTAAGTTCAGTTAGATTTTCTCTCATTCAGGTGTAGGCTTTAAATAATCATCTAAGCATATTTCACAATTTTTAACAAACATAAAGAATTACATTTTTAGTGGACTCTGAATCAATTTTTATATCAAATTCTAGGAAAATATAACACTGTAAACTAATTATATAACTCAGTAAAATCAAGTTTTAGTCTTATTGACTAGTTTCAAGCCCATTAGTTAATATACACATTCTGTGTTTAGTTATAGATTAGGCTCTGGCCTGCCTTGCTAAGTTGGGGAAGTTCTCCTGGATACTATTCTGAAGAGCGTTTTCCAACTTGGTTTTATTCTCCCCGTCACTTTCAGGTACACCAATCAGATGTAGATTTGGTCTTTTCGTATAATCCCATATTTCTTGGAAGCTTTGTTCATTTATTTTTACTCTCTTTTCTCTAATCTTGCCTTCTTTACTTCATTTAGTTGATCTTCAATCTCTGATATCATTTCTTCCACTTGATTGATTTGGCTATTGAAACTTGTGTATGCAGCTGGGCATGGTGGCTCATGCCTGTAATCCCAGCACTTTGGGAGGCCGAGGTGGGCAGATCACAAGGTTAGGAACTTGAGACCAGCCTGGCCAACATAATGAAACCCCGTCTCTATTAAAAATACAAAAAATTAGCCAGGTGTGGTGGTGGGCACCTGTAATCTCAGCTACTTGGGAGGCTAAGGCAGGAGAATTGCTTGAACCTGGAAGGCCGAGGTTGCAGTGAGCCAAGATTGTGTCATTGCACTCCAGCCCAGGAGACAGTGAGAGACTCTGTCTCAAAACAAAACAAAACAAAACAAGAAACTTGTGTATGCTTCATGAAGTTCTCATGCTGTGTTTTTCAGCTGCATCAGGTCATTTATGTTTTTCTCTGTGTTGGCTATTCTAGTTAGCATTTTGTCTAACCTTTTTTTCAAGGTTCTTAGCCTCCTTGCGTTGGTTTAGAACATGCTCCTTTAGCTCGGAGAAGTTTATTATTACCCACCTACTGAAGCCCGATTCTGTCAATTCATCAAACTCATTCTCCATCCAATTTTGTTCCCTTGCTGGTGAGGAGTTGTGATCCCTTGGAGGAGAAGAGGCATTATTGTTTTTGGAGATTTCAGCCCTTTTGCACTGGTTTCTTCCCATCTTCATGGATTCATCTACCTTTGGTCTTTGAAGTTGGTGACCTTTTGGTGGGGTCTCTGGGTGGATCTCCTTTCTGTTGATTTTAAAACTATTTCTTTCTGTTTATTAGTTTCCCTTCTAACGGTCAGGCCCCTTGGCTGCAGGTCTGCTGGAGTTTACTGGAGGTCCACTCCATACCCTGCTTGCCTGGGAATCACCATGGGGAGCTGCCAAACAGCAAAGATTGCTGTCAGTTCCTTCCTCTGGTAGCTTCATTTCAGAAGGGTACCTGCCAGATGCCAATCAGAGCTCCTCTGTATGAGGTGTCTGTTGGCCCCTGCTGGGAGTTGTCTCCCAGTCAGGATACACAGGGTCAGGGAGCCACTTGAGGATGTGGTTTGTCCCTTGTCAGAGCTCAAGTGCTGTGCTGGGAGATCTATTGCTCCCTTCAGAGCTGCTGGGCAGGGATGTTTAAGACTGCTGAAGCTGAACACACAGCTGCCCCTTTTTCCCAGGTGCTCTGTCCCAGGAAGGTGGGGGCTTTATTTATAAGTCCCTGACAGGCTGCTGCCTTTTTTCAGAGATGCCCTGCCCAGCAAGAAGGGAGACAAGTGACAGTCTGTCTGAAGAGGCCTTTCTGAGCTGCTGCAGGCTCTGCCCAGTTGCTTTGTAAACTTCCTGGTGACTTTGTTTACACAGTCGAGGTTAAAACCACCTACCTGAGCCTCAGCAATGGCAGATGCCCCTCCCCTCACCGAACTCGTAGAAGGGCTTTTTTCATTCATAGGTTTTTTGTTTGTTTTTGAGACAGCATCTTGCTCTGTTGCCCAGGCTGGAGTGCAGTGGCATGAACTTGGCTCGTTACAACCTCCACCTCCTAGGTTCAAGCAGTTCTCCTGCCTCAGCCTCCTGAGTAGTTAGGATTACAGGCGCCTGCCACCATGCCCAGCTAATTTTTGTATTTCTAGTAGAGGCGGGGTTTCACCATATTGGCCAGGCTGGTCTTGAATTCCTGACCTAGTGATCTGACCACCTTGGACTCCCAAAGTGCTGGGATTACAGACATGAGCCACCACACCCAACCAATTCATAAGTTTTTAAATTATGGATTCAATTTTGGAGTTTGGTATTGGTCTGGTCAGGGTTTCACTTTTTTTTTTTTTTTTATTCAATCTTGGGAGGTTCTGTGTTTCCAGGAATTTATTTATTTCCTCTAGATCATCTAGTGTATATGCATAGAGGTGTTCATAATAGTCTCAGAGGACCTTTTTTATTTCTGTGAGATTGGTTGTAATGTCACCTTTGTCATTTCTCATTGTGCTTATTTGGATCTTCTTTCTTTTTGTTAATTGAGCTAGCAGTCTATTGATTTTGTTTGTCTTTTCAAAGAATCAATTTTTGGTTTCGATTCTTTTTTTTTTATTGCATTTTAGGTTTTGGGGTACATGTGAAGAACATGTGAGATTGTTGCATAGGTACACACATGGCAGTGTGATTTGCTGCCTTCCTCCCCATCACCTGTATCTGGCATTTCTCCCCATGTTATCCCTCCCCAACACCCCATCCTTCACTGTCCCTCCTCTATTTCCCCCCCACAGACCCCAGTGTGTGATGCTCCTCTCCCTGTGTGGTTTCTTTGATTCTTTGTTTTGATTTAGGGGTCTCAGTTTTGTTCCGTTTCCTCAGATTTTCGTTATTTTTTTCTTCTGCTAGGTTTGGGGTTCTTGTTTTTCTGATTTCTCTAGGTGTGATATTTACACCATTAATTTGAGATTTTAATAGCTTTTTAAAGTACACATTTAGCACTATGAACTTTCCTGTTACACTTCTTTTGCTGCATCTCAGAGATTTTATGTTGTGTTTCCGTTTTCATTTATTTCAAATAATTTTTTTATTTCTGCCTTAATTTTGTCATTTACCCAAAAGTCATACAGGAGCAAGTTGCTTAATTTCCATGAATTGTGTGGTTTTTTAGAGATCTTCCTGGTATTGGTTTTTATTTTTATTCAACTCTGGTCCAAAAGAATGGTTGATATGATTTCGATTTTTAAAAATTTATTGGGGCTTGCTTCATGGTAGAACATGTGGTTGATTTTCGAATGTGTTTGGTGTGCAAATGAGAATAATGTATATTCTGTGGTTGATGGGTGGAGTGTTCTTTAGGTTTCTATTAGGTCCAATTGGCCAAGTGTTGAATTTTAATGCAGAATTTCTTTGTTAGTTTTCTATCTTAATGATCTGTGTCATGTTATCAGTGGGTGTTTAAGTTCCCTGACTATTGTTGTGTGGCTAAGCCTTTTCATAGGTCTAGAAGTATCTGTTTTATTAACCTGGGTGAGCCAATGTTGGGTGCATATATATTTAGGATAGTTAAGCCTTCTTGGTGAATTGAACTCCTTGTCATTATGTAATACCCTTCTTTGTCCTTTTTTACTATTGTTGGTTTAAAGCCTGTTTTATCTGTTTTACGAAGAGTAGCCCCTGCTCTTTTTTGTGTTTTGTTTGTATGATAGATCTTTCTTCAACTCTTTACTTTGAACCTGTTGGTGTTGTTACATGTGAGATGGGTCTCTTAAAGACAGCAGACAGATGGGTTTTGTTTTTTTAATCCAACTTGCCACTCTATGACTTTTCAGTGGTGTGTTTAAACAATTTATATTCAAGGTTAATATTGACATGTGAGCTTTTCACCCTATCATGAGATTGTTTGCTGGTTGCTTTGTACTTTCTATTGTATGGTTGTTTTATAGGGTCTGTGAGCTATGTACTTGTGTGTTTCTATGAAAGCAAGTATCATTGTTTCATTTACATGTTTAGAGCTCCTGTAGGTATCTCTTGTAAGACTGGTCTAGTGGTAATGAATTTTCTTGGCACTTGCTTCTCTGGAAAAATGTTTTTATTTCTCCTTCACTCAGGAAGTAGCTTGGCAGGATATGAATCTCTTGATTATAATTTATTTTATTTAAGATTCTGAAAACAGACCCTCTAATCTCCTCTGACTTGTAAGGTTTCTGCAGAGAGGTCTGCTGTCATCCGGATGGGGCTCCCTTTGTATGTGATCTGGCCTTTTTCTCTAGTACCTTTAGGGTTTTTTTCTTTGTCAGTGACCTTGGACAGTCTGGTAAGTATATGCCTTGATAATGTTCATTTTTAATAGCATCTTGCAGGTGCTCTCTGGCTTTATTGTAGCTAGATGTCTACCTTTCTAACAACACTGAGGAACTTTTCTTGAATTATTCTATCAAATATGCTTTTCAGGTTGTTCTCTTTTTCTCCTTCTCTCGAGGGAATGCCAGTAATTCGTAGGGTTGGTCCCTACATGATCTCATATTTCTTCACTTTTTAAAATTCATTTTCCTTTATTTTTGTCTGACGGGATTAGCTGAAAAGACCAGTTTTCAAGCTCTGAAATTATGTTTTCTACTTGGTCTAGTCTATTGATAAAGCTTTCAATCGTATTTTGAAATTCCTTAAGTGAGTTTTTTTAATTTCAGAAGTTCTGATTGATTTCTTATTAAGATGTTTGTCTCTTCCTTCATTTCCTGGATTGATTTAGAAGTTTCTTTTTGTTGATTTCAACCTTGAATCTCATTGAGCTTCCTTGCAACCCCTGCTTTGAATTCTTTATTATCCTTTCTGAGTTTTCATTTTGGTAGAAAGCATTGCCAGAGAGCCAGTGTGATATTTCGGTGGTGTCACTACATTCAGATTTCTCATGGTGCCAGAATTCTTGTACTGGTCCTTCTCGTCTGGAGATACTAGCATTCTTTCTTTTTCTTTCCTTTCCTATGATATTATTTTTGTTGTTGTTGTTTGTTTGTTTGTTTTCTTCTTTCCCTTTTCCTCCCCCCTAGGGGGGTGTGACTATAGAGCATGCTAGGTAGGGTCTTTTGGCTTTGCTTCTGTAGTCCTATGCACTTCTGTCAGCAGGTTTTATATATACCTACAAGCCAGTACGTGGTGCCATGGGTAAGAGCTGGCTGTGGCCAGTGCTGCTGGCTGTATACTTGATCCTTGTCTATTGGGAGGAACTCTCTGTTGCCTCAGGCAATAGGCTGATTCCTCGAGTTCGCATTAATCTAAGCTCCTTCCTCAGCCCTAGGGGTAGAGGGGTTGTGGGGACAAGATGGGTGGAGCCAGATTGGGAAGGTCCCCCAAAGTTATCCTGCTTTCAGTCCTGATTTGGAAAAATGCCTGCAACTTTTTCCTGTGTCTTTCCCTCACAAAGTCTCCAAGTCTCTCCTCAAATTAGCCCCAGGACTTGGGAGAAACAGTGCTCTTCCTCTGCCTGGGTTGCTTGGATCTCCAGTGGAAAGGTAAGACAGAGGGATACTGTCTGCCTCTCTCACATACTGAGGCTTCACTCACTTTTATCCGTCGAATGCTGTTATGTGGGCTGTTGGCCTGCATTGCCCTCCCCAGCATCTGGGGTGTCCTTCATAATTCCAGGGAATTGCCATTTTCTTTCTTGAATTAAAGCTCACAGAGTTGATCTTTATGTACTCGCTTGCTATATCCAAATGACGGAGGCATGCTAAAAGCCTGTAATCTGCCATCTTGGAAAAAACATTCTTGCATTCTTAAGAGAAATGGCACTTGATATTGATATATGGTATTTCTACATTGCTGAATTTACATTGAAAAATATGTGTGTGTGTGTGTGTGTGTGTGTATATATATATATATATATATATATATATATATATTTTTTTTTTTTTTTTTTTTTTTTTTTTTTTTTTTGAGACGGAGTTTCACTCTTGTTACCCAGGCTGGAGTGCAATGGTGCGATCTCTGCTCACCGCAACCTCCGCCTCCTGGGTTCAGGCAATTCTTCTGCCTCAGCCTCCTGAGTAGCTGGGATTACAGGCACGCGCCACCATGCCCAGCTAATTTTTTGTATTTTTAGTAGAGACGGGGTTTCACCATGTTGGCCAGGATGGTCTCGATCTCTTGACTTCGTGATCCACCCGCCTCAGCCTCCCAAAGTGCTGGGATTACAGGCTTGAGCCACCACGCCCGGCCATATATGTATATTTTTAAATCTACATTTATATGTGGTATAAAGTTATCTTTTCTTCTACTGTATTTGTGCAATTTTGGAATCAGTTATATTAGTGTAATAAATGGGAATTTTTCTGTTTAACTATTATCCAAAAAAGGTTATAAAAGACATGAATTATTGCTTTCTTACAGATTTAGTAAATACTTCATCATGTCCTTTTGTAGAGAGGCAGTGAGAAATATTTACTGTAAATGTTATTTGTGTATTTTTCACCTGTGAGGAGGAGGTTACAGTGAGCCAAGATTGTGCCACTGCACTCCAGCTTAGACGACACAGCAAGACTCTGTCTCAAAAAAAAAAAGAAAGAAAATCAACTTAAAATGAACTCCTTGAATATTTCTGAGTGTATTTTTTTATATCTTGAACTAACTTTTCTTTTCTAGGAAGAACTGGAACAATGGTTTGTGCCTGTCTTATTGCTTCTGAAATATTTTTAACTGCAGAGGTATGAAAGATGTTACTACAAACTTTGTCTTATGATGATTGAGTTTGCTAGTTCTGAAACATCACTGGTAAGAATTTTAGTCATGGTGCTGAGTGAAATTGTAATTGGAGAAGCAGTTTTTAGAAAGTGTGTTTTTGATACTTTCTTGTTTAACATACACTGGTTAGTAGATGACTTAAGAATCTCTTTGCCAGGACTAGAGTGAAGTCAATGAGGTGCAAAATTTAATGGAATGCTAACAATTGCAAGAATTATAATAAATAATTTTAATGCAATATTTTAACAGTAAAAATTAATGCACAAAATCTATGATATATGCAATATCAACATTTTAAATAAAGACAAGACCTGATGGGGCTGGATTAAGGTGAGGGGAGTAAAGCTATATTACACAGATACAAAAAACATTCAGTAACCAAGATGCTTCTCTCACCTCACCTGACCCTGCTTTTACTCCTACTGGTATCACACGTCTTCCTTCCTCCTGAGAATAATATCAAGCTTAATTAGATAAATTCTCCAAAGAGTCTTGACCATCCTCACAACTCTTAGATAGATAAAGGGCAACTGAACACAAAGCCTCTCCTCAATGTAAATATCTTTGCTTAGTCAATACATGTGGAGTCTGACATCTAGAAATTTCTGGTAAGACAAGGTGGGTTGTTTCTACTTAAAGCAGAGTTCTCAGTTGTTTTTCTTTGTGCCATTTTCTTGCTGAAATGCTACCATTTCCAGCAGCTCTGCTTGAGTTGTTTGGCCTATAGTCTAGGGAAGAAGTGGTGGTTATCCCCAGTGCCCAGCACTCCAATTCCACCACTTTTGGTATTTCTTTTTTTTTTGTTTGTTTTTGTTTGTTTTTTTTTGAGACGGAGTTTCGCTCTTGTTACCCAGGCTGGAGTGCAATGGCACGATCTCGGCTCACCGCAACCTCCGCCTCCTGGGTTCAGGCAATTCTCCCGACTCAGCCTCCTGAGTAGCTGGGATTACAGGCATGCACTACCATGCCCAGCTAATTTTTTGTATTTTTAGTTGAGACGGGGTTTCTCCATGTTCACCAGGATGGTCTCAATCTCTTGACCTTGTGATCCGCCCGCCTCGGCCTCCCAAAGTGCTGGGATTACAGGCTTGAGCCACCGCGCCCGGCCGACTTTGTTTTTTCTAATTTAAGACACACATTTTGAAAATGGATGTGCTGGGATGGTGTTTTCAAGCTATGGATCATGATTTATCAGGGAGTTGTAAAATAAAGTTACTGGGTTGTGACTAACATCTTTTAAAAATAAAATGGAGTAAAGCAGAATAGAAAATATCAAAAAGTTTAAGTATTGGGGTGTGTGTATGTATGTGTGTGTGTGTGTATCTCCTAGGCTATTAATGTGATTTGCAGCTTTAAAAACAAAAGGTTTGAAAGTCATTGACAGTCATTGATCCAGAGCCCTAGACTGAGAACCAGGGACTTGTATTCCAGGCCTGTGTTGCCGCTAACTGGCTGCAGCATCTCATGGCAGATTGCTTGGTTTTCTTTTGGTCTCAGTGTTCTTATTTGTAATATGGAAAGAAGAGTTGGACCATATGATTTCTAAGGTCTTTCCAGCTCTAAAATTTTATAAATTTACGAATCCTTGAATGAGAGAAGTCCTTGATGTGGCTTTGTTAATTTTGTTATTTTGGGTAGCCTCTGCCCAAAGATCACTGTGCCAGGCACTGTGGCTCATGCCTGTAATCCCAGCACTTTGGGAGGCTGAGGCAGGCGGATCTCTTGAGGTCAGGAGTTCAAAAGCAGCCTGGCCAACATGGCAAAACCCCTATCTCTACTAAAAATATAAAAAATTAGCTGGGTGTGGTGGCACACACTTACAGTCCCAGCTACTCAGGAGGCTGAGGCAGTAGAATCTCTTGAACCCAGGAGGTAGAGGTTGCAGTGAGCTGAGATCCTGCCACTGCACTCCAGCCTGGGTGACAGAGCAAGACTCCACCTCCCCAAAAAAATCACTGACTTTAGGAAAGAAGGTAGCCATAGAAACACTAAGGGTGCCTAATACAGGAAAGGAAAGAGTGCAGATGGACCATGGTTGGATTATACCCTTTTTTGTAGGAAAGCCTGTTTTACTTTGGAGAAAGGCGAACAGATAAAACGAACAGCACTAAATTTCAGGGAGTAGAAACGCCTTCTCAGGTAAGTTTTCTTTTCAAAAGGGGGAGTTTTTCTGGGGGAGTGGGTTAAGATTGCCCCCTGTTACCTGCTTTTATTTTAGACTCTTTTCCTTTGGCGATCCGGCAGCAGTCGGGCACCCTGCATGGCCTTGGTCCCTCCCTGAGGCTGAGGGTCATGCTTCAGGAGCTGCCCACGTGTTGGGGGCTCTGACTTCCCCTCAGAGCACCCTGCTTTCTATTCCATACTGGTTATTGTTTATGGAGCTCAGGAATTGATTATTCTCCCAAAGCAGGAAGGTCCAGTACCTAAGGCTCCAGGACCCTGAAGTTTATCTAAAATCACCAGCCTTTGATTTCAATGTAAAAAAGATGCAAGTCTTTCACAAACCCTTACTAAGCCAATTCAACCCTTGCAGAATATCACAAAGACTGTTTCTGGATAACTCCCCTTTGTATGTGTGTGTGTGTGTGTGTGTGTGTGTGTGTGTGTGTGTGTGTCTTTTCTGTGTGTTTTGGGGGAGGTGTATTTTAAAACAGAAAATAAGGGGAAATAAACTTTCCAAAAACCCTTTTATATACCAGACAGTATTGCACTTTTACATATCTCATTTAATACCCACAACACTTATATAAAATATACACCGTCACTCCATTTTTTCTTTTAAAAACATTTTATTATGGAGAACTTTAATCATATACAGAAGTCCAGAGAATCATACCATATATCCCCATATAGTCGTGACATTGTGGCAACAGTCATTTCAGCCTGCAACCAGCCACGTTTCATCCATTCTTTTCCCGCTCCACTCACACCCCCAACCCCACTCTCCATTCTTGCTTTCTCTAAACCTGGGTTATTTTAAAGGAAATTTCAGTCATCAGATCATTTTATCCCACGAGTATTTTAGTATGACATTTAAGTACTCTTCACCACCAAAAATCCTTAATATTTTTTAATCATATCTAAAAATATTACACCTTAAAAATCCTTAATATCAAATTTGTAGTCCATGTTTGTTTCCAAAATTGTCTTAAAATCTTTGAAAATTTCGTTTGTTTCAATCAGAAAATTCAAACAAAGTCCACACATTTCACTTGGTTTCTGTGTCTCCTAAGTCTCTTTTAAGAATCTAAGTTCATAGATTTCTCACCATTTTTTTTAATTACTTGTACATTGTTTATTGCAGAAACCAGGATGTTTATCCTATAGCATTTATAACGTTCTAGACTTTGCTGAAGTATTCTAGGAGTTGCACATTCACTATCTTATTTAATATTCTCAGTAACTTTATGAGTAGGCACTGCTATGATGCTCGTCTTATACATTAGAAAACTGAGGTCCAGAGAAAGTAACTTTTGGACTAAAGATTGAAATCTAGATGTCAGACTCCGAAGCCCATGCTATGCACAGCTTCTCATTTTTATTGTCTTTCTATATTGTCCCTCAAACTGAAGTGAGACTGGGTTGGGAATTCTTAAACAGATTTGGATATGGCTGTAAATGAGTTTTTCTTTAAGTGGTAGGAGCTGAGTAAGTACTCTTGGCCCTGTTAGAACACCGTAACTACTGATCCTCAGCCTTTAGTTTGGGCCAAAAGAACTCAGCCTTATCCACTGATACTTTTTTCCCACACCTAAGCCAAAAACAAAACAAAACAAAGATAGTCATAGATATAAGCTAAAAGTAATAGGTGAATTTACCGAAGTGCAGCCCTAATCATGCCATTTCCGTGCTCAAAATCCATCCTATGTCCCTGCTGCCAACGGCAATAAACTGAATGTTTCAACCTGGCACTCGAGAGCCACAGTTTGACTTTTCTGCTGTGTGCATGCACACATCCCACGCTCGAACGCATTCCGACTGTGTGCTGTTTTCCAGCCTGTGGACCCTTGATACCCTCATGCCACTGCTCATGCCCCTTTTCCTGGAGTCCCTTTCCCTTCTCAGCCTGAAGTAGTCTCTTGCTTTTTCAGTTCTTAAAGCCTTTTGTGTTTCTCTTCAGGACTACGTCACTTTGCGTTATTCTCTAGCTATTTGAAGTGGTGACTTCTGTATCCCCTTTAAAGGCAAGGCCCATGGCTTATCCATCTTTCCCCGCTTTTCTCACAGTATCTTCTTTGTTTTTAGTGAGTGCCCCCTACGGGTTGGTTGTCTTAATTTCTACTATATGTTCATGTTGTTTTAAGTTATAGGGGAAGGAAACATGGGAGCAAAAGCCATTTAGGGGAAGATTGAGAATCTGGTGGCAGGAGCCGAGGGGATGCTAGATGGAGCGCCTTCAACAGCTCTATCTACGCATCTCCTTGTCCCCAGTGGTTTTACACTTGTGCGTAGGTTCCCTAACTGTAGTCCAGAACTAGCACACCAGAGGCTGCAACTGAATCTCTTCCGATTCACTGAGAAAGCAACACAGGGACCCAGCTGCAGGTTGAGAGCCGTGTTGGCAAGACCTCAGGAGAGAGTACCCTCTGTATCTGGTGGGGATTCTCAGACACCATCACGTTCTGATCCTGCATTGTGGGCCATTCTGCTGACTACATCTACTCCTAGGTTAAGAACTTTCATGAGCCTTCCTCCTGACTGGCCCTTTCTAAAGGAAAGTATGGCAGTTAGTTACTGTAGTGAACATTTCCCAATGGATAAGGAACAGTCTGTGAACCTGAGTCCTTTGTTTTTTTGAGACAGAGTCTCACTTTGTCACCCAGACTGGAGTACAGTGGTGCAATCTCAGCTCACTGCAACCTCAACCTCTTGGGTTCAAGCGATTCTCCTGCCTCAGCTTCCTGAGTAGCTGGGATTACAGGTGCCCACCACCACGCATGGCTAATTTTTATATTTTTAGTAGAGACAGGGTCACCCTGTTGGTCAGGCTGATCTCAAACTCCTGACCTCAAATGATCCGCTCACCTCGGCCTCCCAAAGTGCTGGGATTACAGGCATGAGCCACCGCGCCTGGCAGACTTTTAAATTTTGAACCAGTTGATTCAGTACCAAAGCTCTTCAACAACTTTGAGAAAAATTCAAGGAGAGCCATTGGGAACAGCTTACCCCAGGGAAAGGACAAGGCTAAGAGAATCCCAGGGCTTCCTTGTGAAAACAGAACTGGGGAAATGGAAAGTGAAGAAATTCTAGCTGTCAGAAATGAGAAGAATGACATGAAATCTGCTACTGAGGTATGGAGGTATTCCTCTTGAGTTTTCACATATACCATTCTCTCATGCCAGGAAGCTGCTCTTCACTAAACCACGAACCTTCCTCTAACTCAGTCACAACTAAGCTGCTATCTGTGCACTGATGCTGATGTAACTGTTTTGTTGTTGGTTCTGATTAGTTGCCCTCTCAACCATAAGCAGCCTATAAACCAGACCTGGCTTCACCCTTGTTACTTCCCTATGGCATTTAATTCAGTATTTTCCCCCCAAGGTATATAGTTGTGAGGCAATATCCCTAAAAGTGTCTAGTTATATAATGGCATCAGTAAACACTTCCTTAATTACTTACTCCCCTTAACAAGCTTTATGCAAAAAAAAAAAAAGAATGTTGACTTTAGACTTTTCATCTCCACTTAAAGTGAGGTGTCTGTTGCTTTTCAGAATAGATATGTTGGATATTTTGCACAAGTGAAACACCAGTACAACTGGAATCTCCCTCCAGTAAGGATACTCTTTATTAAAAGATTCATTATTTATTCGATCCATGGTAAGCGCTTTATGTATAATTGAAGAATTGGGCAGGAGGGCCACTCTGGGAGGGTTTTGCTCATAGCTATATATACAGATGATCCTAACTCATACCTGTCTTTGAAGTCTTGCTCTGTCGCCCAGGCTGGAGTGCCAGTGGTGCGATCTTGGCTCACTGCAGCCTCTGCCTCAGCCTCCTGGGTAGCTGGGATTACAGGCACACGCCACCCTGCCCGGCTAATTTTTGTATTTTTAGTAGAGACAGGGTTTCACCATGTTGGCCAGGCTGGTCTCGAACTCCTGACCTCAGCTAATCTGCCCACCTCTGCCTCCCAAAGTGCTGGGATTACAGGCTTGAGCCACCATGTCTGGTCCACCTGCCCTAAATATTTTTTCTGGAAAGATGAAGTGATGGGATTCCAAGTCTTTGAAGCTGATTGTGTGTGTGTGTGTGTGTGTGTGTGTGTGTGTGTGTGTGTGTGTGTGTGTGTTTTAATCCCCTCTCTTAGAAAATGCTGTAGGAGACAGAACTGGGCTTGAAGCCTTGTCTTTCAAAGACAAAAATCCATGCAAGACCAAATAAGTAGCTACTGATACATTGTTAACTTGGATAATTTTTTTCTCTTTTTAATCCATGATGTTAATTGGTGAGACATTTTGATCTTTGTGCTAACCAACCTAACTTTTAAATTTTATTTAGGTATTGGATCAGGCGATGAAAATGATCTAAAAGTCCAAATAGTAATGGAGAAAAGGGTTGTCTTTTCCTGTACTTCTTTAAAAAATTGTGTGGTAAGAGAAAACATGTGAATTGAAAAAATCTGATGTTTGTTTTAAGGCTGAATGTCAAACCAGCAATGTTCACCTCCCTAAACTATCATTCACCATAAAGAGATTACGTAATGCTTTCTGGTTAATATCCAGCTTGGTATCACTGGATTTGGATGCAAACCAAGATAAATTAACCTGTTTGTTCAAAACAGTTTTTTCAGGTTACTTTCCAGAATTTATTTCTGTTCAGCATTGCTTTGTCTTTCACTTTTCCACAAACGCTGAGCATGTTCCCAGGACTGTATTAAAGATTTTAATTTACATATCTGGTTATTTTTAGCCATATTCTTTTCTTCTTGGTCATTTTATCTTTTATTATAGAGCAGTGATTCTAAAATTTTAGTGTACATGAAAACCACTGAGGAGCTTGTAAAGGTTTACATTCCTGGTTTGTACCCCCAATGTATGATTTGGGAATTCTGGAATGCAGCCCAGGAATCGATCAACTTAGCAATGTCCCAAGTGATTCTAAGTCAGAGGTTCTGTGGGATAACCCTATGAGAAACAGTGCAGACTGAAGGAACTAGGGAGGAATCTCAAGGAGCTTATAGTCAAAGTTTTGCTACAATGAAGAAATGCCTAAAACTATAAACCTTTTCTGAACCAGTAAGAAAGCTTCCTTCATGGGTCTAATAACCATAAACTTAGAATTCCTACTCAGGCCTTTGTCTCAAATTCTCCTATTACTAATCGCATTCCTCCCCTCTCTGCCTCCCCCCACCCCTTTTTTTGGCCTCTCCCAACTGAGGGCATTCACCTAGGCCTGACCCTTGGCTTTCTGTTCTTAGCAAATGCTTCATTCTTGGTTAAGGAATGACCCATCCCCTTTAGTTAAACTATTATTTATTAGTTTATATAACAGACATTTATGAGCACCCACTGAGTTGTAGATGCAGGAGCTACAACATGAACAGTCTCCACTCCAACTGAAATGCCTTAGCCTGTCTGAATTATCAGTGAGCTTTCTCTCTGCTTCTGCAAATGGCACCAGCTTTCTCCCACTCAGGCTTTGGGCTTTGATTCTCTTTGCCTCGGTCCCCTAAATCCAGTTAGTTATCAATCCCTGTTGATTATGCCTTTGAAATTTTTCTGTGCTCTCCTGCCTTTCTGTTCTCACTGCCACTAACTGTCCAGAACCTCGTTTGCTCATGCCTAGATTTCTACAGTGGTCACCTTACCTTTTCTTTCTCCTTGTATAATGGAATGTATAGAACCCTGAAATACGCATCCTGAAATATGGCTCTCATTGTGAAAAGTTGTAGGTAGAGCAGAAGACACACTGTGTGGCCATGGTCAAAACCAGTTGACACCTTTGGCTCAACATACTTATCTGTAAAATAAATATCACATCTCAAGTGTTGTGGGAATTAAATTAAATAATATATACATATACATACATATATATATGTGTGTGTATATATATATGTGTGTGTGTATATATATATATATATATATATATATATATATAAAGTTTCTTTGTAAACTATAAATCACTAAATAAGTGTTACATGTGATAATTATCAGGCCTCTTTGTCACATAGGAAATGCCCCACCATATTCTTCAGCAACCTCACTCTTATTGCCTTGGCTCTTGAGCTCTTAAGATATCATAGCCCTAACATAACACCTGAGCTTACAGACTTCATTCCAAATAAACTGGGTCATTCCTTTTGGCTCTTGGAACACAACTGTAATTTTGTTCATTAGTTAGTTGGTTCTTTCTTTCCTTCCTTTCTTCCTTTCCCATTTTTTTGCCTTGAGTCAGGGTCTCATTCTGTCACCCAGGCTGTAGCTCAGCGGCGTAGTCATGGCTCACCACAGCCTCAACCTCCTGAGCTCAAGCAATCCCCCAATTTGTTTATTGTTTGTAGAGACTGGGTCTTGCTGTACTACCTAGGCTGTTCTCAACCCCCCTGGGCTCGAGCAACCTTTCCCTCAGCACAACGTGCTGGGATTATAGGCATGAACCACATGGCCTGACCTTTTTTGTTGTTGTTTTTCTAATTTCTTTTTTTTCTTTCTTTTTTTTTTTTTTGACATGAAGTTTGGCTCTCGAGATTGTCCAGGCTGGAGTGCAATGGTGAGATCTTGGCTCACTGCAACCTCTGCCTCCCAGGTTCAAGCGATTCTCTTGCCTCAGCCTCCCGAGAAGCTGGGATTACAGGCATGTACCACCACACCTGGCTAATTTTTTATTTTTTGTAGAAAAGGGATTTCTCCATGTTGGTCAGGCTGGTCTTGAACTCCTGACTTCAGGTGATCTGTCCACCTTGACCTCCCAAAGTGCTGGGATTATAGGCATGAGCCACTGCACCCGGCCTATTTTTCTAATTTCTACTTTGTGTTATTGCTGGTCTTTTTCCCTCTGAATAGACTAGATTCTATTTTCAGAGCTTTTCTTCCTTTATTTAAACCAGGCGTCCCCAAACTACGGCCCGCAGGCCGCATGCGGCCCCCTGAGGCCATTTATCCGGCCCCCCGCACTTCAGGAAGGGGCACCTCTTTCATTGGTGGTCAGTGAGAGGAGCACAGTATGTGGCAGCCCTCCAACGGTCTGAGGGACAGTGAACTGGCCCCCTGTGTAAAAAGTTTGGGGACACCTGCTGTTTCATGCCCAATTCAGTTTCTACCTCCTCAATGAAATGTTCGCATTCTGCACCTCCTGTTAACTAGCGCCCAATAGTGCATAAGAGCACACCCAGGCTTCATCATACAGGTTGAGTTATATACCATTCTACTATTATTTCTTATATGTACAGCTTCCTTAAGGAACCAACTGAGTCTGTACCTCCTTTTGTGTTTTTCACAGGGCCTTAACATAGACTTTTCTTATTGTAGGTGCCATCATTTATATGAGAGTAAGCCAAAGAAATAGTATAGCTTCAAAGTAATTCATTACAAAACTTGACCTATCTTTGGTCACTCCATCCAGCAGCCTGCGGTGGTCAAGTCCAAAGATCCCATTGACAAACACAAGAGTTCTGATAAAACATCAAGTGTTATGAACCCCTGTTGTTATTTGTTAAATTTAGAAAATAAAAAGCCATGATGAGTTATGCATTACTTTTTGAATGTCAATGCTAGCTTTAAAATTGAGCGTCTTAATGTATTCTCAAAAGAGGCCCTAATGCATGAAAAACAAATGACACACATTAAATAATATTTAATTGATTAAAGTCTAGTAGAAAATTCAACACTTTTTTGAAGTGAGGCACTTAAAAAAAGTAAGGCACTTTTAGTAGAGACGGCCAACCCCGTCTCTACTAAAAATACAAAAATTAGCTGGGCGTGGTGGTGCACGCTTGTAGACCCAGCTTCTTAGGAGGCTGAGGTAGGAGAATCACTTGAACCTGGGAGGCAGAGGTTGCAGTGAGCAGAGATCACGCCACTATAGCCTGGCAACAGAGCAAAACTCCGTCACAAAAAAAGAAGAAAAAGAAAAGTGCCTCATGATAACCCTCAAACATGTTGGCCTTTAAAAAATATAAACAACAGGCAGGACATGGTGGCTCATGTCTGTAATCCCAGCACTTTGGGAGGCCCAGGTGGGCAGATCCCTTGAGGCCAGGAGTTCAAGACCAGCCTGGCCAATATAGTAAAACCCCATCTCTACTAAAAATACAAAAATTAGCTGGGCGTGATGGCATGCACCTATAGTCCCAGCCACTCAGGAGGCTGAGGCACAAGAATTACTTGAATCTGGGAGTCAGAGGTTGCAGTGAGCTGAGATCATGCCACTGCACTTCAGCCTGGGTGACAGTGAGACTCTGTCTCGAAAAAAAAAAAAAAAAATACACACACATATAAACAATAGTATTGCAACTAGAAAAGATTATTAATAATTATTTACATATGTAGTGATTGGTTTATGGACCAAAAGTACTATGAAAAGGAACTTCATCATTATCATTAGCTAGGTTTATAGTTCTAAATTCCATGTGTTCATTCCCAGGTAATTCATGATGCTGAAACAGACAGAGTAATAATTGATGTATTCAACTGTCCACCTCTGTATGAAGATGTGAAAGTGCAGTTTTTCTCTTCGGTGAGTAATCAAGAAACAGCCTCTGCCATTGTTCTTGTCTGGTCTTTTGAATGATTTTATTTAGGATTTGCTTTACTACAATTCCCAACAAGGGAAATGATCAATGTCATTGCATAGAGGGAGGGGGAGAAAAACAATAAATCAGGTCTATAACAAAAATTTTTAAAAGAACATATGTAATTTGAATAATTTTGTTCATTTTTTTCTAAATTGTAAATTTTCTAAATTTTTCTAAATTTACATGTATTAATTCTCATACAAAAAATACAAAATAAACACACAAAAAATGTAAAAGCCAAGGTGCTAAAAAACCAAAGGTATGTTTTACTGCATAGCAATGATTACATCTTGTTTCGCATCTTTTTTTTTTAATTAAAAAATTGAGGCCAGGCCTCGTGGCTCATGCTTGTAATCTCAGCACTTTGGGAGGCTGAAGCAGGTGGATCTTGAGGCCAGGAGTTCCAGACCATCCTGGCCAAAATGGTGAAACCCCATCTCTACTAAAAATACAAAAATTACCTGGGTATGGGGGTGCATGCCTGTAGTCCCAGCTATTTGGGAGGCTGAGGCAGGAGAATCACTTGAACGTGGGAGGCAGAGGTTGCAGTGAGCCGAGATCACACCATTGCACTCCAGCCTGGCAACAGAGTGAGACTCCATCTAAAATTTAAAAATTGAGACAGGGTCACACTTTGTCACCCAGGCTGGAGTGCAGTGGTGTGATCATAGCTAACTGCAGCTTCAGCCTCCTGAGCTCAAGCAATCCTCCCACTTCAGCCTTCCAAGTAGCTGGGAGCATCTACTGGAAAAAGAGTTAGGTTTGGGTGACTCAGCTGGGTGAAACACAAAGAAGGCAGCACAATACAACACATGAAATAGCCAAAGCAGTCTGTTATTAATTCCAGAGAGAAGAGGGCAGCACACTTCGCAGGGTCAACTGTATGGGGGAGCCATTCAGGAGACCTGTGCTCAACTGAAGGGTAGAGAGCAATAGCGAGAGAGAGGGAGGGACCTGAGAGTGGAAGCCTTTATTAGGATGTAAGGCGCCACCTGAGAAGGTTTCCTGCAGGGAAGTCTAATTTGGTTTAACGCAAGCAGGCATGTGCTCCATGAAGTCATGCTATGACTGAGAGGTGTCACTGATATATCCACACGGTCCATGCAGAGTATGGGGATCTGTGGGGTGAGTCAAGTATGTTATATCTAGCTGTCCCATAATGAAGCAGTCACCAGGAGAAGGTTGTATAAGGCAGATATTGGGATCAGACATTGAGAAACTGGGAGGAGATAAACTGGAAACTGCTGAGGGTAACTGAACCCCACTTCTGATATCAGAAAGTCCAATTTATATTTAAAAGGGATGCTGAGGTAACAGCAACAAAAAAATTGTTAAGAATTCACTACAATATACTTGGGTATACATAGGCATAGGTCCTTAGTAGATTCTGTTTAGCACTATCTAAACAGAATTTAAATCTGCATTTAAATAAAATATCTATCATGGGAAAAATACTATTCCCTGAAAATTTTGATAGAAACGGCAAGAGAAAGCAATGGCATTTTCTTAAAGCCTCCTCCTGTGTGTCTGGATTGTGTTGTCATAGACTGCAGAGTGCTGCATATTTAGTTATAACTGTTTGATAAATATATAAAGGATTAAAGGAAGGAAATTTATTTCTTTGGAATGATTAGTTCTTGGTATCAGTTTTACTTTGAAAATAATTTATTTTCTTTTTAGGAGCTTCCTAAATACTATGACAATTGTCCTTTTTACTTCTGGTTTCACACATCTTTTATACAAGATAACAGGTATGGATATAATATAAACCCATAGAAACAGCCTGATCTTCAGTGTCTAAGGTGTAATGGCAATTCTTTTGCTGGTTGTCGTAAACTTAATTTATAGGAAGCAAAAACTCCTCGAGCCACCTTACTCCTCTTACTTTGGTTATTTAAAAAACACAGTTGTTCTTGAGACCCACTGTTACAGTATCCTCAAGGTCTATGCCATAGTACTGTGTTATTTGTTTTTGTTTTTGTTTTTCTGAGACGGAGTTTCGCTGTTGTTACCCAGGCTGGAGTGCAATGGCACGATCTCGGCTCACCACAACCTCCGCCTCCTGGGTTCAGGCAATTCTCCTGCCTCAGCCTCCTGAGTAGCTGGGATTACAGGCACGTGCCACCATGCCCAGCTAATGTTTTGTATTTTTAGTAGACACGGGGTTTCACCATGTTGACCAGGATGGTCTCGATCTCTTGACCTTGTGATCCACCCGCCTCGGCCTCCCAAAGTGCTGGGATTACAGGCTTGAGCCACCGCGCCCGGCCTAGTACTGTGTTATGAGTTCAAAAGTATTATAATTAGATCTCCAGCGTGGCAGTAAATTCCTCCCAGAGAAGTTCAATATGAGTCTGCTCGGTACCTTCATCATGTCAGGTCTTCAGTAGGTGCTGATTTACCAATGACGAACCACCACCAAATTTTGTGCTAAAGTAAGGCAGGACCTAGGGAGGCTTCAGCCAGCTGAAAAGCTGACTGATACACTTATATCTAGGAGAAGTTACAAGGCACAGTGAGTATTAAGGAACACACCTAAAAATACTAGTAAGTAATAGTCTCCCATTTAAATGTGGCTTTCTAATAACTGAACTGGGAAAACTTTCTGAATAATTATTAATTGGATTTAGAGATTATTGTTCCAAAAAACCTTCTGCCATATTTGGAAACTCATTTCTCAGTCTAGAAGTTCTCCACTCTATGTAGCATTCGTTCTATGGTGGTGAAAATTTTGAGTTTTTTGGTATCAACCATACCCTCAATACAAAAGGATAAAATATTTTTTAAATGATATAGGTCAGAGCTGTAGAAATGGCTATGATTACATGGCATGAATTGATAGTTACTGTTATATCCAGTCCTAATCTTTTCTTCAAATGTGAACTGGAGCTGATAACTCCTTATGTCCAGCAAGGCAACGTTAAATTAAACCTCTGGTCTACACACTTGTAATGCATACACATTTAATAGATTTTGATAGAGTGAACTTTGGATTTGATGGAAAGTTTTTACAATTTTTTTTCTTGGATGCATATAAACAGTAAGCTTTTTCTTATGACATGAGCAGAGTCCCTCAAATAGTGAGAGCTGGGTAGAGTTTCATTTGACGCTATTTCTCAAAAGTGATTCTTGCTAAAGGATACAGTTTTTTTTTTTTTTCCTTTAAAACACCATGTTCATTTGGAGAAGCAATAAGGTCACTTTTATCCTCACTTGTATTCAAATTTCTAAAGATTTCTGTAATATTTAAATTTGCATACTAGTTGGTAAAGCTGTTTTTGTTTAGCCAAAAATGCCAACTTCTATCATTTAGAACACTAGACATAAAGGGGTTAACCAATTTATTCCTAGTGTTCCATTATTGGAACACTAGGCATGTGGGAGTTAGATCCTCCTGCTCCAGGTCATCTCCAAGGTCTGATTGTAAAAATTCAAAAAATTGCAACCTCACACATGAATTAAAAGAGATATAGTATTTTATTACTGGGTTTTCATTCATGTCTAGCCTGATTGATTTCTGTAACATATAGAAATTTAGATATTTTATTAAACCTGGATGTCACTAATTCCATTAAAAGCAATGTTAAAAGAATCAGCATGCGTTGCTGATGTGTTGCTGAAGATAGTATTTTTAAGTCTCACTAAAATGGTGGAAGGAGACAATTGAGACATAAAAAGGGGCTGAGGTTCTGTTCACAGTGAGGTTCGTTTTTTGTTTCTTCAAGCTCTAACAAGGGCGCCCAACTGCATGGCTTTTCAGTTAGCCCCAATATCAAATGCAGTTTGTTTTTTTTTTCTATTCTTAGGCTTTATCTACCAAGAAACGAGGTGGATAATCCACATAAACAAAAAACATGGAAAATTTACCCACCGGAATTTGCAGTGGAGATAATTTTTGAGGAGAAATGAATTACAGTTAAGTTGTAGCTGATTAAGAATAGTTCCCCCTTCCCCTTCTGGGAAAGAATTATGTTTTTTCCAACCCCCGCCACATATTTTTATGTTCTAAGTCTTCCCTACTGATATATCTATGTTTATATGTGTTTACATATGTTCTTGATAAATCTATTAAATATATATAGGTAAAACGTCAGTGTTTTTTTTTTTTCTTTTTTGAAGGCATATACTTCAGTTTCCATCTTGTATTTACATAAATTCGGAACACAGTACACAGAAACGTTAGGCATCATTTTGAAGAACTTTGAAATGGAACTTTCATATCAAAATAATTGAGATATTTAAACACTGTGATTCCCCAACACCCACTTACTTACATATTTTTGATCAAGTATTTATTCCCTGCTTTGTTTCACATTTGTAGTTTGAGATTTTTTAGAAAGCAAATTTACATTTTTTTCTTCTACTTCATTTACAAACTGTCTGTTAACAGATTGGTGGCAAAGACTTTAAATCCAGAAGGCAGAAATGTTTCACAGAAGCAGTCCTCTAGCTCCCAACACATACTCTTCTCTCAATCCAAGTACTCAATGGTTAGCTTACTTCACAAGTTTCTTTTAATTCCACACAGACATGGGGGTTGGGATAAGAAGATTGTAGTAAATATGAAGGATAGGTAATCTTCAGTAACTTCTGCTTTTGTATAAAATTGTAAATGAAATCAAAAGAAAGCTTTGTTCTTAGAGTAATCTAGGCGTACTGTTATTTTGAAATCCACCAGTCCTGCTCACAACCAACTTCACCTAACCTTGGGGAACTCTGAAGGGAGGTAATCTTCTAATTATTAACACTAGTTAGCAACATGTCTACAGGAAATCATTATTATTTCCTCTTTGATGCCAGGTGCTACTTTTTTTTTTAACAAAATTTTTTTTTTTTTTGAGACAGGGTCTCACTCTGGTTGTCAAGACTGGAGTGCAGTGGTGAGATCTTGGCTCACTACAACCTCAACCTCCCAGGCTCAGGTGATTCTCCCACCTCAGCCTCCCGAGTAACTTGGATTATAGGCACATGCCACCACACCCAGCTAATTTTTTGCATTTTTAGTAGAGATGAGGTTTTGCCATGTTGCCCAGGCTGGTCTCAAATTCCTGAACTCAAGCAGTCTGCCTGCCCCAGTCTCCCAAAGTGCTGGGATTACAGGCCTGAGCCACCACGCCCAGCCTGTAGGTGTTATTCAAAGTACCTTCATTGCCACTGTATCCTCAGGCTGTGATTGTCCTTGAAAAAGTTCTGTTTTGGCTTTATTGAAATTATTTGAATGATTTTCCTTCTATTAGCAAGGCTCTCAACAATCTAGACCAAGATGAATTCATCAGAAAATGAAAGGTAGCAACTAATAAGTCAAATGTCACTGCTATAACATGGTATGTCATTTCTGAAAAACCTTGCATTCTACAGAAAACACTAAAAAAAAGAAGCAGTTCATGAAAATATAGGGCTTGAGAGATCAAGGCAAACCACTCCAGCACAGCAGCTTTGTAACCAACACGCTAACCACTTGGACCACCCATGTCAGCACCTCAGTGTTTGGAGTTTGCCATAGGAGCTTTTTTATTTTGAGTAGAAATGGAACAATATATAAGGGCTGTGGGTACCAGAGTGGCACAGATGAGAGTAGAGCCTTGAGCCATGGTGGGCATGGAAGGCAGCAACCTGCCAGGAGCTGAAAGCCCCACGAGGCTGGTGAGTGGCCTAGCTGCAGGTGATTTTTTTTCTCCTCTAAATATTCCAGAAAAAGGTTCCAACTGCCTGTGCAGCAGCCCAACTAAAGCCTTTTTTGTTTACTCCCCCTAATCTGGCTCCCCCTTTGAGGAAAAGAACATGCTTTCACATTCCTTTCATGTTAATATTATACCCTTCCATTCACATTACAGAAACACGTGTAGGCACAACATAGGTTGTACTATTTCATTTAAAATTCACACAGCAATAATCTACAGAGGGTAGATGATGTCCTGGGTTAGGTGAATAGGGAGGAAAATACTTAGCTGGCTCAGTGGAGTAAGATCTGTCTTTTTCAATACTAGCAATACAGGAAGGAAGGAACCCCCCTTTTTTATTTTAAGAATTTCAATTTTTGAAATAAAGAGGTTACCATTAAGGTTTCTCTTCCCCAAACCTCCAAGACCCACCAAAATTTGGAAATTGTGAGTTGTTACACTGTTCTGCTTTTGCTTATTCAAAGAAAACTTGTTTAAGGCCTCTTTGGGTATTGCTTTCTTAGAATGCAGAATGAATGATTCTTTGAACATCCCAAGAAACTTATATCAGAATTGTTAAGTGTGCTCTGAATGAAGAGACCCTCCAAACAGGCTTTGTATGAGCAACATGGCTGTTTATTCACCCGGGTATGGGAGGGCTGAGTCTGAAAAGAGAGTCAGTGAAGGGTGAAGGGATAGGAGTTGGTTTTATAGGTTTGGGGTAGGCAGTGGAAAGTTACAGAAGTTATAGTTCAGGGCAGTTTTTGCAAGCTGGGAGGGGGTTGTAGGGTCTGGAGTCATGAGGTTGACCTGTCAGTTGAGCAAGGTTGGTTACAAAGTCCAGTTGCCTTATCATTTGAGGTCTTACATTTAAATCTTAAACTATCTCCAGTTAATTTTTGTATGTGATGAAAGGTATGGGTCCAGAATCATTATTCTGCATATAGTTAGCCAGTTGCCCCCACACCATTTATTGAATTCTTGAATAGGGAGTCTTCCCCCATTGCTTGTTTTTGTCAGCCTTGTCAGAGATCAGATGGTTGTAAGTGTAAGGCTTTATTCTGAGTTTTCTTTTCTGTTCCATTGGTCTGTTTGTCTGCTTTTGTTCCATGCTGTTTTGGCTACTTTATCGTTTGAAGCCTCTGGCTTTGCCCTTTTTGCTTAGATCTGCTTTGGCTATGTAGGCTCTTTTGTGGTTTCATATGAATTTTAGAATAGTTTTTCCTAATTCTGTGAAGAATGACATTGGCAGTTTCATTGCAATAGCACTGAATTTGTAAATTGCTTTGAGCAGTAAGGCCATTTGAACAATATTGATTCTTCAATCCATGAGCATGGAATGTTTTTCCATTTAATTGTTACCTCTAATTTCTTTCAGCAGTGTTTTGTAGTTCTTGTAGAGATCTTTCACATCCTTTGTTAGCTGTATTCCTAGGTATTTCATTTTCTTTGTGGCTACTGTAAATGGAATTCTGTTCTTGGTTTGACTTTCAGCCTGGACATTATTGGTGTATAGATATGCTGTTGACTTTTGTACATTGATTTTTTTATCCTTAAACTTTACTGAAATTGTTTATCAGTTCTAGTAGCGTTTTGGCAGAGTCTTTAGGGTTTTCTGGGTATAGAATCATATCACCAGCAAAGAGAGAGAGTTTGACTTCACTTCCTATTTGCATGCCTTTTCTTTCGTTCTTCTGTCTGAGGGCTCTGGGTAGAACTTCCAGTACTATGTTGAATAGGAGTGGTAAGACTGGACTGGGCATCATTGTCTCGTTCCATTTCTCATGGGGATTGGTTCCAGCCTTTGCCCACTCAGTAGGTTGGGGCTATGGGTTTATCATAGATGGCTTTTATTATTTTGAGGTATGTTCCTTTGATGCCTAGTCTGTTGAGGTTTTTAATGTGAAAGGATGTCAGCTTTTATCAAAAGCTGTTTCTACATCTATTGAGGTGATCATATAGTTTTTGCTTTTAGTTCTGTTTATGTGGTAAATCACATTTATTGATTTGCATATGTTGAACCAGCCTTGCATCCGTGGACTGAAGCCTTCTTGATTGTGGTGTATGAACTTATTGATGTGCTGCTGGATTCTGTTTCCTAGTATTTTGTTAAGAATTTTTGTGTCTGTGTTCATCAGAGTAATTGGCCTGAAGTTTTCTTTTTGTGTTCATCTCTGCCAGATTTTGGTATTAGGCTGATGTTGACTTCATAGAATGAGTTAGAAAGGAGCCCCTCATCCTTTAATTTTTTTTAAATTTTTTATTTTTTTTAAGATGGGGTTTCACCATGTTGGTCAGGCTGGTCCTGAACTCCCGACCTCAGGTGATCTACCAGCCTTGGCGTCCAAAGTGCTTGGATTACAGGCGTGAGCCACCCATCCTCAATTCTTTGGAATAGTTTTCAATAGAACTAGTACCAGTTGTTTGTACATCTGGTAGAATTCAGCTGTGGCTCCATTTGGTACAGGGCTTTTCCTTGTTGGTAGATTTTTTATTAATTATTTGATTTCAGAACTCAATATTTGTCTATTTAAGGTTTCAATCTCTTTCTGATTCAATCTGGAGAGATTATATGTTTCCAGGAATTTATCCATTTCCTCTAGATTATCTAATTTGTGTGCATAGAGTTGTTTATCGCATTCTCTGAGAATCTTTTGTATTTCCGTGGGATTGGTTGTAATGTCATCCTTGTTATTTCTGATTGTATGTATTTGGCTCTTCTGTTTTTTTCTTTCTTTAGCTAGCAGTCTATCAATTTTTTTTTAAACTAATTATTGGTTTCATTGATCTTTTGTGTGGATTTTTGCACCTAGACTCAAAAACAAGAACAACAACAACAACAACAACAGCATTTCAAAAAGCACTTCATTCAGGGCTTCTCGAGTTTTAGTTATTTCTCTTCTGCCAGCTTTGGGGTTGGTTTATTCTTTTTTTTTCCTGTTTCCATAATTGCAAAGTAGGAATGTTAATTTGAGATATTTGTAATTTCTTGATGAAGGCATTTAGTGCTAGAAACTTTTAACACTGCTTTAGCTGCATCCTGGAGATTTTGGTATGTTGTGTCCCTATTTTCATTAATTTCAAAGAGTTTTTTTATTCCTGCCTTTATTGTATTTTATTTTTCTTTTTTCTTTTTTTTTTTTTTTAGCTATAAGACAAAATATTTTAAAACATTGAAAAAACATTAAAAGACAAATGTCCATTATATAACCAGGAATGTTAAATATATGGAAGCTGTAAATCTCTAAAATGTGGTATTTCCAAGGCTAAATGTTGCAAATTATCCTACTCTTTTTCTCTAATATCAACAGAACAGTACCCGATATGATGAAAAATAACAAAAAGACCTTACTAATTATCCAATCAAAGCCATCATCTTTGGGTAAACTTATATCAA